TCTCTCTCTCTCTCTCTCTCTCTCTCTCTCTCTCTCTCTCTCTCTCTCTCTCTCTCTCTCTCTCTCTCTCTCTCTCTCTCTCTCTCTCTCTCTCTCTCTCTCTGTCTCTCTCTCTGTCTCTCTCTCTCGCTCTCTCTCTCTCGCCCTATAAATATAGATATACATATATATACATTCATATGTACATATACATATATATATGCATTTACATTCTCAGTGAGCGACGCGGCACACTGGGATTGGCTGCTCAGTATATGTATACACATTCTCGTATCGTGTTAACGGAGCTCTCAGTCGACACTAACCCTGCATGATCTTCATGTACATCACGTTCCGGTTCGAGGAGAAGAAGGGAGGGACCCCAACCAACAATTCGTAAATCAGGCAGCCCAAGCCATAGAGGTCTACGCTGTGGTCGTGCCCCTGCATGCACACCCACCATCGCCCGGCAACACAAGCAGCGACCCCCATCGCAAGTTCTCCCCTTGAAACACAGAGCCTCTCTAAGTCACCGCCCCCGAAAATGACTTCGTGGCGGGCGCCAAACAAAGGGCGCAATGCCGCAAGGCCTTAGTCACAACAGCCATGAACCTCTTGCCCCCTCTAAACTCCGCATGCTTCCGAAGCGCGCGTTTCGGGCCGAGATTGAGCCTTAGCGTTCACCGTGCCGAGAAGCATCTCTGGACTCAAATACTCCGGACTGCCGCAGAAAGAGAAGGTCCTCTTCAGCTGCCCTGCGAAGACAGCAACTCGGGTTGCACACTGGCAGCCACTGAACCCAGCAGCACCTAACCTCCAAAGCTGCATCGCCGCTTTGCCTCAGACTCTCACCCGTGAGCCTCTTGGCCAATCCAAAGTCGGCAAGTCTGCAATGCCCATCTAGGTCTATGAGCACGTTGGCTGCCTTAAGATCTCTATACACCACATGGTGCGTCTGGAGGTGCTGCAACCCAAGCAGCACCTCCACTGCAACGAAGCGCGTCACTTCTTCACTGAAGCGCTTGTGGCAGCGTAGTAGGGCTGCCAGGTCCCCTGCAGTCGCAAAAACAGCAGAAAAAATAGTCCGAGTAAATCGTTCAACTGCACTGCTCTCTGTAGTGAGGACTACTCCCTTAGCCCAATATCCGCCCCGTGGAATAATTTGCTGATTTCCTCTCCATCTGTCTCTTAGTCTAGCTGTGAGTCTCCTTGTCTCGCTTTCTCTCTCTACTTGACGCATCAACAGCTAAAGACACAAATTCCAACTACCCTCAGAATTGAATTGCCCCTCCCCTCTTCCTGTCCCCCTCCTCTCCACCACAGATTTAATGCAGAGGGAGGAAGACCCCGAAAAATGCCTCAAAGTTCGCGAAACACAGAGAAAGACAGCACAGCGGGATGCGGATAGACACGCAACAGGCACAGAATGATTCGTACGGGCAAGGCGGAGGAGGAGACGCACGAAGTGAAAGCAACACCTAGAGAGAGGAGAGATCACCGCTCCATGCACATGTCTCAGGGGCAGACAGTGTACTTTGAACCTGAAGGGCTCACCTCCCGGGCAGAAATCCGTAACAAAGAAAAGCTCCTTTTCTGTCTGAAAGGAGCAGAGTAGCTGGAGAATGAAAGGAGACTGGCAAGTGGCCATTACCTTCCTCTCTGCAAGCGCCCTTCTCAATCGCTGGGGGTCTCTCTCAATCTTTTCTTTTTGCAGCACTTTAATGGCCAGCAGTCTCCCGCTCTTGTTGCTCCTCACGCGAAACACTCTGCTGAATCCCCCGCGCCCGATCTGACGCTCGAATGTGAAGCAACACAGGCAGCAGCGCAGCAGCGTCCGAGAAGCCTCAGAAGCCACCAACGGCCCCTCTAAAGAGCCACCCATTGGAGCGCAGGAGAAAGGTTTAGAGGCCACAAGGCAGTCATTCAGCGGCGAGGGTGTTGGGAAGGGGGAAGCTCTAAGCCCTCGCGCCCTTGGGAGCTGACTGCTGCTGCTGCTGGCGCTGCTGTTGAGGCTGCTCATGGGGTATACGACGTGCGCAGAGCTGAGAGAGGAGGCTGTAGAGTCTCCGTCTTGACTAGAGGATCCGGAGGGACTCCTTGCAACTGCGGCGATGGTGGGTGTTGCAGCCGCAGCAGCAGCTGCAGCTGCAGCAGCTGCAGCAGTAGCGGCGGCAGCAGTAGCAACAGCTACAGCAGCTTGCGTTTGTGCGACGGCGCGGCTGTGTTCAGAGCCGTTTGGTTGCGTTGGGGTAGAGAGCTTATGGGCCCCTTCAAGAGAAGCCCCTGTACCCGCAGGGGTAGAAGCGGCTACATCTGCATGTATTTCCTTGCTGCATGGCGTCAAAGGGGCCTCTGCTCCTTGAAGGAGTGGTGGCTGGATCGCCTCTACGACAACACGTGAGGCTGCAGCAGCGGAGTCAACATCTCCAGGCTCAGTTTCACGAGGCAGCTGCTCCTCAAAGGGGGTCGCATAGAAGCAGCACACATGTAGACCTTCGGGGAGGAGAGCGAGGGGCCTGTCTCCGTCTTGGAGGAGAGCATCCAGCCAGTCCCTGGCACCTGACGGAAGAGGCCTCCTACCGTCATGAGGGGAGCAGCATTTGAGCGCCACTGCGCGGGAGGCTGCTTCCTCATCTCCTGGAAACAAAGACACCCTTAACAAGCGGAAGCGCATGTTGCGGACTGGTAGGGAAACTACAGGCACACGAACCAGCAGCAGCAACAGGCACACGAAGCAGCAGCAGCAACAGGCACACGCAGCAGCAGCAACAGGCACGAAGCAGCAGCAACAGGCACACGCAGCGCCATGGCGAGTTACAGCAGCATGCACAGTGCACGGCACTACAGGAGAGGATTGAGAGCTCAAAGAGTTCCCGCGGTCGGGTCCCTTGGAGAATCGCTGAGCGGTGCATGCATCTAGAAAGGGGGAGTGGAAATGGTACGAGGAAGGGAGTCAGTTGCCCGGATCAGCGGTGAAGCAGCGGTACGTTTTTGGAAAAAACGGCTAAAACGACGCCATTTCTCCGAGGTCTCGTGAATTTCGGCGCTTTTACCTGACTCTGTCAAGCATTGCAGCACGCGAGAGAGCAACCAGCCAGTAGTGGCTTCGTGAGGGTCCGAACACCTGACGCTGAAGGGGGGCCCCCTCCCGGTGTGTATGTGGATGACGCGAGACCCGCAGGGCCCCCTGGCCGTAAGCGGCATTCCGCCGCTCAGCATTGCTCGGGGGGCCCTCGCTGCTGCAGGAGGGAGGCGCCCTCCCCCAGCGGCTGCCATGGCATTAACAACGTGGCGTGCAACCTTGCTGTTCTGGAGGATGGCTCTTTATGACACGCCGCAAAAGCCAGCGCTACGCGAGTCTTGCTGGTGATGTTGCTGTTGCGGGAGCACCAGAGAGTTGCCCTCCTGAGACGCCATCTCGTTCGATCTCAAGGGTTTCCTGGACTGGGAGCGCGCTGCATAAGCTCCCAGTCCACCTTCCCTTGCACTTGCGCGAGTTGCTGCTGCCGCTGCCGTTCTCAAGACACCCGACTGGCTTGTCGATAAGCAAAGAATGCTAGGCAGGGCAGTTGCCGATCCAGCTCTGCTGTCTCTGAATCACCTGCTGCGGATGGGGGCTGCGATGCGAGACACAGCATCTGTGCGCAGCGCTGCGGCCCCAAAAGAATGGCAAACGCTACGAGGAACACTACAGTGGCTTCTGGATCCTCTACAAATTTGCTGAACCCGAAAAGCGAGTAGCCGAACCGGACCAGCGGATGCACATGCAACTCGGGAATGTTGGGCCTACTGCTCGGGGTCTTTGAATAAAGAGCCTCCTCGCCTCGATTCTCATTGCTAAAATGGCAGCTGAATGAATTCACGAAAGGCGACAAATGCCTGAATCGATGCAGTCCCAGACAGAAGGTGAAAGGGAGGAAGGCGTGGACTGCTGCAGCAATGTGTGCCCGCGGTCGGGTGGCATGCACCTCAGCACAAAGGCCAAGACCTCTCCAAGTTGGAGCTGGAGGATTTACAACAGGTCTATTTTCACTAATGAGCATCGAGAAGCGCGGAGGAAGGATTCCTCGCAGCAGCCTAGAAGAAACGGAGAGGGCCTCATGCCGCCTGGCTGGCTGGGCCGACACTCTGCTCACAACCCCTGCACTTGAGCCACCCCTCTCCTTGTCATCCGAGAGGTAAGGCACGACTTGGAATGGATGAGGAAGAGTCTAATGCGAGACACGAGGGGCTCCAACGGGGCGCTAGAGCTGCAAAAGCTCGTATTCGGGCACTCTTTGGGGCTGAAGTCAGCCAGAAGAATGCAGCCGGTAGCAGTGTTATATGCGGCAGCCTTCCATGCTGCACTGCGCTGGTAGTTCTTTGCCAAATAATAATTCAATCTGGGCTTGGATTTCCCTGGATAAGCAAGGGGAGAGTGTTACTGGACACCGTGACCCCCCACGGCCGTCGCCGAGCTGGGCCGCGTCCTTTACCAAATTGGAGGATCCTCTCTTTTTCCAATTTCGATAAATGGCCCACGGCAGATGATATTTGCTTCTTTGTATATGAGAATTTTAAGTGCCGGTTTCTTAGCCCGTCGGTTCGCACGATACAGGGCGGTTACAGCCAAGACAGCTCTAACGCCTAACCCATGTTGCGCATAGCTCAGCGAGCCACAAGTTGGACAGAAACACCCAAACATTTGTTGTCCAAGGTGTCGTGGAATTGCATCGGATATACCTTCCCGGAATTTCAGGGGAAGTAATGCCATAGGGCGATTGTTACCACCATAATACAGAGAAATTTATTGCTCCATTTGCACCTTGCAGACATAGCCCTTCTGAGCGAAAAAGGGTTGCTATTTTACGGGGAAAATGCACATAGAACATCCACCATATTTCTTTGGTCTACTGTCGACAACCATAATGACACGACTAGTGAGTTGACAGATTTATGTGAATGCTCCAGAAATCCGAGAGAAAAGTGCGGGTTTTGAAATTAAAAGCATGCATTTTTGCCTTCCTCTATGAAACAATTGATTCAGAAAAGAACTTTTCACTGAAGAGGCGAAAGCTTTTTTTCGATAAATGTACCAACCGGTTGGAGCGTACGTGCACCTTTCTCATTGAACTTTTCACCGGTCATGAGTGGACATGTTCAAGTACATGTTTGTTAAGCTGCACGGAAAGCAGCCCCACGGTATACCTTGTTATGTAAAAATGCTCGTTTTCTTATGTATGTTTGAGGCTCTTTCATTACTGTCCTTTTCCCCTTTTTCTGTTGCTCTGCCTCTGCACCCCCACCGATTTGCACAGAGCCAATCACAACTGGACCGAGATAAAGTACGGCGCATGAACCTCACTAGTTTTTTTGCAACGAAGCACCATGATATTCTCGCAGACGCCTCCTCCATATCCGATAATCAATGTGCATCTAGGTAGGCCTTTTGTATTGTTGGGTTAAGCTAGTCCTAAATATCTTTGTTAGATGAAGCAGAAGTGTCTGACGGCGTGCACACGGATATGTCTATGTTTTTGCATCAAGAACGCAGCAGGCAGCGAGAAGTTGAAAATGCTATGCATCGGAAACGTGGATTTTTCCAGGAGATAATGGGCAGTGTAAGCTTGATCTCATCTTCCATGTCGATATGCTGTTCAATTGGCTCTGACGATCGTTTTCAAATATATTTACGTACTCTTCAGCAACAACAGAACCTTGATTTTCTGACCGATTTGGAGCAAACTCTAGGGGCAAGCTCGGCCTTAGAGGCGGAAAATGCAGTATGTCCCGGCATTTCAAATCTCTCAATCAGTTCAACGGCCAAGTACAAATTTTTCAGTCCAGTTGAAAGAGAGGCATTGCAGAGATTTCATGGGCCACAATGAGACATAGCAGCTAAACGCCACTGCGGTATTAGGACTTTTGTGGGATGCAGCTGCATATGAATAGGCGGCAAACAAAAACATCCAACGCGCTGCCAGAACTGTGACAAGATGGTTTATGGCAAGGTTGCGCAAAGCTCGCCCGCCTTTCAGTCTTAAGGTCTTTGAACATCTTTAAATGCTGAGCATCAATTCGTTTTGTGGTTTCCTGCATCTTTCCTACTGTGGTCCTAACCGGTGGTGCGCTGTTCCTGCACGGGGGTGCACCGAATGAAGCTGAAATGTGGTTCTAAAAGATAATGGTGATCATATTACCCTACCCTATGAACAAAAATGAACACTTATTCAGCCTATTAGTCGAGTCACTATCTTTTTGTTTTTAGTTTCCATAATGGCCATTCAATGGCTTTCGTCGCATCTGCACACGGTCCCACTGCCGTCTCCAGTGGCTGCCTTTCTTCTCTGACTCTAACAAGAAGATTCCTTCTCCTAGCCTCACTTGATCTATAAACCGTTTACGGGATTCAGGTTTACATCCACAAATAACAGCCACATTGGACCGTGTTTTTGGCCTGGCATGGGCGTTTATGATAGACGTCGGGACTATCCTCTGAGACCTTATGTGCCTTTTCCTTTTCAAATCACTCTAAATATGATTTCCAGTTTTATTAGGACCTCGGTGTTGTTTTAATGCCCGCACTTTTACCCGGAAAGCTCCTCCTTGCCAGTCGACCACCTGTGGCTGCTACGTCAGGTGCCAGGTCACCTGAGGCTGAGGGACTTCTGGTCATCCTTTAGTTCAAAAAAGTATTGATGGAGTGCTATGAGCACCACCTTGTACCTGTGCCATTGCTAGGACAGGGAAATTTGCTGTCTCGGCCATAATCACAGGCTCAAACTAACAGGTGTAAAGGTTTTACTATGTATTGTTCTCTCCTTCGATTTGCAGTGGAAGGCCAGGTTAGAGCTTAAAGGCATTCTTAAGCTATGTCAGAGAAGGCCCTCAGCACAAGCCTTATCTCTGAGGGCCAGAACTGTTCCCAACTACTCATATCGCCCTCTTTATATTTCCTCAAAAGGTCAGGGGGCCCCTTTGAAGCCCCCAAATTGGGCTTTCTTCAGTTTCCCGTATAAAGACAGCATGCCCCGACAAATCCTGATCAGGCAGCACTGTACGTACAGCTGAAGAAGGAATCTTTTGATTTGCCGATAGCCGCGATGCAGGAACAGGTTTCAGGAATTGGGCCCACAGAAAATGGCCCCGCAGTTTCCCAGGTGAATGGGATATTCGATGCAGAGGAAGCCTTCGAGGATGCTCTTCCCCACTCCGAAGTGCCATTCAGCGCTGCAGGAGTTCCTTCCTCTTTAGCTGTTTCCCATGGGCCCCCTCCCGAGCCCTCGGGTGACAGCACAGGTGTTTCTCCTGCTATTGCTACCCGCTCAGCAGTAGCAGCGCCAACTGATGCAGAGGTTGCAGCTGATCCATGTACCTCTTCGGGCTGTAAGGGCTCCTTTAGGTTTCTGAATTCTAAACTGAGAGGCGAGGAGGAGGGCGTACCCGTAGGCCCCCCTGGAGGGGCCACAGCAGAAAACGGAAATATCTTTGGCATTACGCCCGAACAGCTCACAGGTACACGCTAGTACTTGGCATGGGCAGAGTCATGACTTATGAGGCCCCTACAGGCTAGGGAGCAACTGCGGATATTGGGGATAAGCGAAAGCAGGTGCTGCCTCCGCTTGGGTTGCTCTAATCATGTTTTTGCTTGTAGTGTTTTTAGCTGGTGTTGCCAACGATTCTGCTGCTCAGCTTTCCTTGTTTACACTGCTTCTACGGCACTTGATTCCGACGTCCCTTTGTAATACGACCGTAGAGGCAGGCAGAAGAAGCAGCAGCAGCACGACGCAATCTACAGCCAATGACACCCTCCTTCATCGTGTTCGTCGCCTTTAAGGCGTGTCGATTTGTGGATTGTGCCCTTTCTTCTTATTGCTGCAGAGTTGGTAACTCTGTACGTCTCACGAACTCAGTACGAAGAGCTAGTAGCCTTGCAGGAGTTGGGAGGAGTCGCTGGTCTGGCGCGGGCCCTGCGGACGGACCTGCGCATGGGCCTCCCCTCCACTGGCGCTACTCACCACGCAGTTAACCATGGGAAAACTGCGAAGAAAATGCATGGCGAGGGCTTACTCGTTGCTTCAGTCGGAGAGTCTATCGGTCTGGAGGAGGGAGCCGACTTGAGCCAAGCCGATGCGGCGGTTTTGGCCGAAAGGAAAAGGGACTTTGGAGAGAACGTACTGCCGCATAGGCCCCCAACTCGTAGGGCTCTGTTCTTTAGCCCAAGGCCTTATGCAATCGGCTTTATTGACTTTCCGCTCTGCCAGTAGCCGCATTTTAGCAATAGCCCCTCGCTGTAGCTCTCTTCGTCAGAAGTGTGGCCGTGTCGGCGTCCCCGCTTGCACAAAAGCCGCCTGTGTACATCTGGGTGAGTTTTCTGCAAACGCTGCTTGGCCTTAACAAGGCCTAGTGCCTACTGCTTTCGGCTTGTCCATGCGGCCTCTTCAGCCTTTTGGCGGCACTGTTGGGACGCCGCGTCCGATTTTACTCTACGGGTGTTGATGGTTGCGGGGTTCGTCATGATCGTCCTCGGCGTCACAGTAAAGCCTCACCATCCCTAAAGTACCAGCACGTCCAGACACGCTTTTTGAGGGGAATGGGGGATTCCCATCAATTGCTTGATCTCGATGAATGGCCCACCTTCCATGCGAACGTTGGCATCGAAATGCCTGTTTCATGGCGTCTAGAGGGTTACGGAAGTATAGACATGCGTTCAGAGAGAAATCCAGAGTAGCTGCGCCACCAAGCATACATGCATATATATATATATATGTATCTGTATGCAGCCTCCATGTGTGATAATAGAGAGAGCCCTGCAGCCGAATTGGCTTAGGAACTGCATACTCGATGCGCTCGATTTTGCTTTTTTTTTGCCTGTGGATCTGCCTACTTGTTTTTGCTGCCCTTTTGCTTCCGCTGACGCCTCCGCGGCTTCCCCATAGTCTTGATGTCGTATGTGTTTGTGTGTGTCAGATGGGGGAGCATCCCGAGGTAGAGTGGGTCGAGGGCTTTGCCATTTGGGTTGCGGTGATGGTGGTAGTTTCCGTGACGGCTCTGAACGACTGGGGCAAGGAGAAGCAGTTTAGAAAGCTTTCTAAGCTTCGGGGTGAGAGAACACAACGTGGCCCCTACGGGGGGAAGAAAGAGTTGACGGTGCACCACTGCAGTTGCAAGGATGAAGGGCACGCCTCATTTTATGTGGTTGAGCCCTTCGGGCATGATGTGCAGATGTAGGGAAGCGCTGTTTAAAGAAGAGATACAAGAGCATGTTTATGCATGCGTAACTATTTTAGGTAGAGATGTTTGGGGTGGGACTTGTGGCCGTCCCATCATTGTTTCAATATATCTGCCTTCCTTCCTCCATCTCCCCCAGCCCTGCAGCCTCCATGCCACGCGTCTGTGCTTCTATCCAGAAGAAAAGCGTTGTCGCGTGGTGCGAGGCGGTGAAGAGGTCGAGGTTTCCGTCTTTTGCTTGTTGGTCGGAGACTTGCTGCGTCTAGAAGTAGGGGATGAAGTTCCTGCAGATGCCTTGGTGGTTCAGTGTGTGGAGCTGAAGGCAGACGAAAGTGCCATGACGGGAGAGAGCGAGTCAATCACCAAGCAGGCGGAAGCCGAGTGCTGGAAGCAGGCCAGAGAACTGCAGAGGCAGCGAGAATCTCAGCAGCAGCAGCAGCCACAACAACAGCAAACGCAACAGGCGGAGGAGCAGCAACACCAGCAGCAACAAGTGGGGTTTGGAGGGGTTCCGCAGCACCACCTCGTTGCTTCACCCCTTCTTGTGGCCGGCAGCACCATTGTCGCTGGCAGCTGCTCAGCCTTAGTCATTGCCGTAGGGAAACGCAGTCAGCAAGGGCAACTCTTCCAAACCCTAACTATTGTGGATGCTCAGCCAACACCCCTACAAAGTGAGGCCTAAGTTCTCAATCGGACCCGAGTGCTCCCTTCCTGCCCTGTCTCGGGGGAGACACACAAAGCGTCCGCCGGTTGTTTGTATTCTGCTCGCAGATAAATTGAATGCCCTTGCCAGGGATATTGGAAGGCTGGGCTTCTTGGCAGCCTGCGTCACCTTCTTCGTCCTTCTCATCCAGTCCGTGAACTAAACTTGAGGCCTTTTATAATCATCGATCGCAAAGCCGTCTGGTCATAGCCCGTGTAACTCGCCCAAGCCATGCTGATTGTGAAGCTTCCTTCAGTACCTGAACAACGAGGCCGTTACGGGGGTGGGGGTTCCCACGAGTCGGTGTCTGCGCTGTGTGACATGTGCGTAGATTTTGGATAATGTTTGGATTGACTCCTGAAGGGGAGAGACCCACAACGGCGAACACGGGGAAGGAGCACCTCGAGTTTCTGGTTGTCGCCATTACCATCGTTGTTGTTGCCGTGCCAGAAGGGCTGCCCCTTGCAGTTACCATTTCGCTCGCGTACTCTGTCGGAAGAATGCTGGTAGGGAAGGCCACAAACACTTTAGAATCCCCCTAAAACAGCTTCTAGACAGAGGCCTCATGAAACCCCGCGTCATCCCCCTCAGTCTTCCCGTCTCGAATCGGGGACATGCAATGCATGCATCCAGCGCTCGAGGCATTGGACTACTCGGGGCTTTAGAACACGGGGTTTGTTCTCAGAAAGACAAAAACTATGTGCGCCGCCTGGCGGCATGCGAGACAATGGGTGGAGCTAACGAAATTTGCAGTGACAAGACCGGAACGCTCACGAAAAACAAGATGGAGGTACAAGCCGTCTGGAGGGGGGGAGGCCCTGCAGTTTCCTCAGGATACGCTGGCTTTCCTGGACCGTTCGACAGCCTCACTGCTCTGGGGAGCACCCCCTCTCTAGGAGGGTCTCACAACGAGCCTTTGAAAGCGACGTTAGAGGCAGTGCGATGGAGGGACAGTGTTTTGACTGCTACCGCCAGTAGAGGCGACACAGCGTGGGATGCCATGATCCAGCAAGCAGCAGTGCCTACCGATGGAGGGCGTCCACGGTGTCTGCACTGCTGCACCAGCGAACTAGAAGCAGCCGCAAATGCAACACTTGGCGCAGGTGACAACACCAAGAAGGCGATGAGGGATGTCCCCTTAGAGAAGGGCCTCACCCACAGAGAATGGGCTCACGTAAGGCGAGGCTGGGGTTTGTATCATTCACCATGTGGCAGGCATCGCAATGCACAGCTGCACTCGTATAGCCTCGTGATATCACCTTCCCTTGGTACCTATTTGCGGCTCTCTATTCCTCTTTTGTTGGGCATAAATATTCTGCTTCTCCGGTTTTTTTCATGCCTATTTGAAGCACGCTCCCCCCATATTCCCCAGCTGCCTTACTTCATATATTGCGTCCGCTGATGGATAGATGGAAGGATATGAGTTTGTTTGCGGCTTTCTGTGTCTAACCCTGTCCCTGTGAATAATAGAGGGCAATCACAGTGGGAGGTGCATCTCCAGAGTCTCTCTCTGCGTGTTAACACATAGGCGGCTGAATGCAGCACAGCATGTCTATATATGCTGTACATATAGAGAAGGACTTTGATTTATGTGCATACGCTTTCCTAATTGAGGGCTTTCTTGAGTCCGCTTGTAAGTATGTGTGGTTGTATGTCTCTTTGTCCGTCAGCTGCTCTCCACGGCTATCATTTTAAACAGCACAGGAAGCCTTGCAGTTAGCACTGTAGATGCCGCCCCTCATGTAGGCAGCAAAAAGGGCCTTGTCGCACGCTGCTTCCGCCACACACCTTCTACATCTATTGCAGCAGAAACTACATCGGAATTTCCAGATGCAGAAGTAGGAGGGAAGGGTCCAAAGCATGTGGGCAGTCCTACAGAGTGCGCCTTGTTAGAGCTGGCGGCCGAATTGGGCTATGGTGCTGAAGACATTAGGAAGCAGCAACTGCTTGTCTATGGAGATGTACGTTGCGTGGCAAACACGGAGACACAACAACGCACGTAGTCTTCGTTCTATAGCCTTCGTTTGAGTCCTTTATATTCGCCTGCATTTGACTGGCTTCGAGCGCGTACTCTTCTGTAGCTTCATCTTCGGTTCACTTCCCCGGTTGCCTCCCAGGGCCTGCATACCGCTTCGCTGAGGCACGAAGGCGTGCACTAAATAGACATACACAATTAAGCACAGAGACTCACACGCTAGCTATCTCTTCACCGTTGCTATCCTCTTGTCGCCTGTCAGGTGCTGCGTGGATGTCGGCTTCGACCCGATTCCACGCGCACCTCCCAATGTGCGCCTTCAATGTCGATGGTGCTGTCTGTTCTATCTTCTCCCGCACAGCTATAGATATGCGTTTTGCGCTGTTTTCTGCCAATTTTTCAGCCGATATTCAGGGCACCCTTCACCAGCGACCGCAAGATAATGACGACCATCATCTCGCTGCACCCACAGCAGCAGCAGCAGCAGCAGCACACCGTTCTTGTTGCGCCGCCGAGTGTTAGCGTGGAGTCGAAGGGAAAGAACAGAAGAGACAGCCGTAGCAGTCGTCGCAGCAGCAGCAGCAGCACGAACAGCCGACTTGGTAGCACCACCACTGCCAGTACTCGGCTTAGAGCACCTGCACGGGGACCAACAGAAGCAGAAGTGGAGAGCCTCTCGCTTCCCAAAACTGCCAAAGGAGAAGCCAGCACTTCTGAGGAGACAGAAAACGAGATTCAAATGTATCGGGTGTACGTGAAGGGCGCAGCGGAGACAGTATTGCGTCTCTGCTCGCATTTTATTGCCTCGCCTTTGCTGACTGGAAAACTAACACCGACAGCATCGGCTAGCAGCAGCAGCAGCGAGCAGCTGCTGCCTCCCGATCTCTGTGCTCTTCCCCTAACCTCCGAGACAGCTGCTACAGTGGAGCGAAAGGTGATCGATTTAATGGCTGGCCAGGCACTGCGCACCATTTGCATTGCTTACAAAGACTTTGTGACCCCCAAGAGCGATTCTCGGTGGAAAGAAATGAGCTCGAAGCCGCCCTTTAAACACGTAGAAACAGGACTTACGTGTCTCGCGATTCTCGGCATCAGGTCAGCGCTATTTAGGGATCTAAGGAAAACGAATGCTCCTTGAAGCATGAGCACTGCGAAAAAGCGCTAGAGCCTTTAGGGCGGTGTTGTGTTCTGGGGTTTGCAGAGACCCCCTTCGGGAAGAGGTTCCTGCCGCAGTGAGGGCCTGCCAAGCGGCTGGTATCCGCGTGCGAATGGTTACGGGCGACAACTTAGAAACTGCCAAGCAGATTGCCATTAAGTGCAACATCTTCCATCCAGAAGAAGGTCAGGAAATGCTTCCTATTTGAGGAGCTTCGGGAGTTAGGCTCTTGCTCCGTCCACGCTGCTCTACCTGTTGCTTGCTTGGAACCGCTGCAGTGCAGGCCTGTGCGAGGGAGGCAGGGGGAAGCGGGGGGAACGGAGGGCGTGTAAGGGCTCACTTGTTACTCTCTAGATGCTACAAACCAAGCGCAACAGATGGACGGCGGCAGTCTTTGGACGCTGCTCCATTTTGCGTGCAAGAACACACCGCATGCGAAGTTTGTGCCTTGTGATTTAGACGGGCTCGCCATGACGGGTGCAGAATTCACGCGCTTGGTCGGTGGCGTCGTGTGCAGCGTCTGCCTTACGCGCACTTGCGACTGCCCAACAAATACCACGGGAGAACGAAGAGAAGGCCGAAAACTCAGGAAGGACGTTGTCAAAGACTTAGAGGCCTTCAGGCGTATTGCACCACGGTACAGCCCTATCGCCAGTGTGTGGGGTTCCTGTCTAGCGTGGCTATTCGGGGTGCAGACATAATAACGCGAAGCACCTTCACGTTTCAATGTTTACGGCAGCAGCGGCAGTCCTGCTTGCATGCCTCCACATGGCGATGCCGCCGAATCGCCTTCTCTTGAAGGGGCAGCGGCTGTGAGTGAAGGCCTTTTTCACGGTTCGCAGTCCGTGCATCTGCGGGGGATGCTTCTCAGATTGGAGGTGCTTGGCCGCTCACAGCCACTGGATAAGTTTGCACTCGTTGTGGGGTTGCAACAGCTTGGAGCGGTTGTTGCCGTTACTGGCGATGGCGCCAACGACGCCCCTGCCCTCAAGACGGCAGATGTGGGCTTTGCCATGGGAATTACCGGTACAGTTCAGTCTATACTCCTGGATTGTAACACAGCCTCGTTTTAGGGCTGCCAGGCTGTTGGCTGCAGTCTGAGTCCATTTAAAGCTTGGGAAAGCGGTGGTGCAGAAGAGCACATAGCGGTTCTTAGAGAGTTGTGCAGCTTTCTACTGCCAAAGTAAAAAGCACTCGGCCTTCCTCCGGCTACTCTCAGAAAGCTCACACAAAACTTGTGAACGCGACGGTAAGTAGCCCAAAAGAGAGGACTTTCTGTGCGTGTTGTGAGCGTGCGCCGTAGGGAAGGAAGTGGCAAAGCAGGCGGCTGATATTGTCCTTTTGGACGATAATTTCGAGAGCTTGGTGTCAGCAGTAAAGTGGGGTCGTAGCATCTATACAAATATCCAGCGCTTCCTTGAATTCCAGCTGACCGTCAACGTGGTCGCAGTGGCTACTGCGCTCGTATGCGGTGAGGCGGTTTGTAGCCCGATGAAGCTATTGAAAGTGTTCAAGGCGTTGGGATTGAGAATTCATCAGTCCTTCCCGTTCATAGGTCGAGTAACGTGAAAAAAATATGCAGCTGAGGGCTTTGCATGCATTGTGGTTTTTGTGGTTGCTTGTAGCCGTGACCCTGCGCGAGTCGCCCTTAAGCGCTGTGCAGATGCTGTGGGTGAATTTGATAATGGATTCGTTTGCCTCGTTGGCGCTGGCCACAGAGCCACCGTCTGATGAACTCCTGAGGAGAAAACCCCACACGAAACAAGAATATCTCGTCACTAAGGTAGTCTACCTATCCCTCCCTAGGCAGGGGGCAAGCAGACAGCACGCCAATGTGGCAGTGCGTAGTTGGAATGGGCTGTGAAGTAGCATATGTGTCAAGATCTTGTTGAAGCCCTGAGTACTTAGCCCACCTTGTTCCTGCTGAACTATGAAGACGCCTCAGTTTGTTTGCCTATCCGTTCACGTGCGAAACCGCTGCCTCATGCTCTCCCGTTGGCGTGTGGCTTCAGAAGATGTTTAGGAATATCATAGGGCAGGCGCTCTATCAGTTGGTGGTGATGTTTACTCTGATTTTCGCGGGCGAGAAGTTCATCCCCGAAGAGACCTGGGCGCATATTTCAGACGAGACAAGACGACAGTTTCCAGACTTTTGTGAATTTAGTGGTACTTTATAAGCAGCCTTTGATTCTGCTTACCTGGGCTCTAGATCCGTAGAGTGCTGTCTTAGCACTGGAGTACTTACGGAATGGGACAGGGCAAACATCTTACGTGGTGGCTGCATTTCGTGGAGGTTGGGTGTGTGCTTTGTGGCTAGACTGCTGGACTGCGAAACCCCATTTGATGCGCTCTGGCCGGCGATTTGTACCCTTCTCTTCTGTGGAGGATTATAAAGGCTCTTGGCGTGTCACTATTGGCCCAAGCCGGCACTACACGGTGGTTTTCAACGCCTTCGTGCTCATGCAGGTGAGCAAGAGGAACGTCGATAGCAGGATATGCAGCTGTAGCGGCACTCGAAGTGGCATGTTTGCACCAGCAGCGATGCGAGGAGGCCCTCGCGGCAGAGACCGCTGTCTCAGCATGGCGTGCATGCGGCAAAAATGAATGCCGTATATTGTGTTACATGAAACTCACAGTTTTTTTTGTGCTGCCTCACTGTAGTCCGCGCGTCCTGCTCCAGCGTAAACCTGTCAGATTGGGCAAAGAGGCTCACAGCTGCCGCTGTAGGGGCTGGATTTGGGGGCAAGAAACAGTTTGTGTGGTGCGAGGTGTTTCTGCACAGCTGGGAAACATGTTCAACGCCCGTCGCTCGGGGTCCTCTTTGAATCTCTGCAAGGGAGTTTTACGGTCCAAGATGTTTCTGGGAATCGCCCTTTTCATCGCTGGTTTCCAGGCGTTCGTTGTTGAGCTCGGCGGACTCCCCATGTCGTGCACCTTTGGGGTCAGTACAGGGGTGGCTTCGGTTGCTGGTGTAGAGCAAGAGGGCGGGGGGGGAACATTGGAGGTTTAGAAGTAAGGGCTCCTGCATGCAGGAACGTGCTTGGCATGACCCTTTAAGATACGTGTGCTGGTCGACAAGGGGGACGGGGGGAGACGGGGGGGTGGCCGTGCAAAGGGCCGCAGTGTCAGAGGCTCTATGCCAATGCGTGTGCGTCATTAATTAGGGCATAACAGGGGTGCAGTGGCTGATCTGTGGGGCTTGTGGCTTGGGGTCGGTGGTGGTGGGAGCCCTCTTGCTGCTAGTGCCGTATCGCCATCTTCCGGAGACGGGTAAAAGAGAAGTCAATCTTCTGCAAGAGAACAGAAGCATTGCACTAGCCTCTAGAGGAAGGTCAGCTCCGAACCCACGCCTTCCTCTGCCTAAGCAGCGCCCTTCAAGACTCACTCCAGTTGTAAAGGATGCAAACAAGCGAACGAAGCGTGGAGCCGTGCCTCTGCAGTAACTTCTGCTGATAGCGAACTAGGAAGAGTGTTGTGATTTGGGGCTTAGGCTCTCCACCGACCGCCTGACCAACAGAATAGGATGCCATTCCTCTTCACAGCTGAGCCAGGATCACAGACGGCAAATAATGTAACCCCCTAGCTTTAGGATATATGGCTTGTACCGAAATACCAAACTTACCGCGTATCAAAACTTCCTGCTGGGCGGATGCAGCTGCTTCTTTGGCGATTGCTCAACATGCGGCTGTCGATGTTGCGTGCCCGGTTGCAGCTGCCCAAACCCCTGGGTGAAAAATGGTCATGGTGCTGCTGCTTGTGCCGCTGTTGTCGCAGCGAGCGGCTCCGCGTGCCTGCCGTATCCCCGAAGGCCGTCTCATTGCCAATGTTGCTGCCTTCGAATTCTGCCTGGGCAATTTCGCCGACGGCCGAGGCAGTGCCAGCCCAAGGGGAGCCCACAAGCCTCATGGTCTAGGTTCAAGGACTCGGAGTAGGGCAAAAAGTCGTAGATTTACGATTTTGAAGGGCCCCCTCATAGATGCGACTAGCACCTCGTACACCACTTCACCTCACGTCGCGCGCGCTAAACAAGAGCCACACAGCCGAATAGTCAAATGCGTTAAAATCTGCCTAATAGGGGGGCTCAGCGGAGCGGCAGACACCCCTTAAGGTCGATTCGTCATGTGCGTATTCATGCAGCAATAACGATGCCAACTGAAGCTCCTGCTGTGGAAGAGGAACTAAAATTTAAAAAATGTGATTTAGTAGCTGAAACCATGACTTGATCATTTTTAATTTCACCACACGCGATTCGGTCTCATTTGCACCAAACATGTGCATGATGGCCTCTGCCCATGCGTTCTGCATGCCACTGGCGTGTCCATCTCTGCCAGCCCACTTGCTATGAGCCATTTTATTCCTCCCCCTTGGGTCTCCCTCTGTTTGGAGGAGATGCGATAGGCAAGAGAGGGTGAACTTGTTTCCATGCAGGGAAGTGTGGCCCATAGGGACTGCACCACGTGCGGGGATATAGGATGCACCAGCGACAACAAAGCCAATTTGTGCTCGTAACTCGTCCAAGGCGTGCTCCCTTTCCGGGGCTCTTAACGGGAACCACAGTCCGACGAGAACCTGTGGGGTCACACAAACACCTAGATACGCAACGGTAACTGCAGTGTGCTTCCTTGTCAACTGGCCAATGCTCCCAAAAAGAGACTTCAGACTGCATGTTCACCCATGCACCAAGCCCGTGCCGCAAGTTGGATTCACTGTTCTATATCTAGGGGGTGGCCTGCGAGATATATTCCCGACCGGCTAATGAAATCTTAGAGTACTTGCCAATCCTTTCGGGCGTCATACTTTTCAGTCATCGCTACCTGATTGATGCGTCCATGCACACTGTACCGGCTAGAGAGCCATGCTTCTCTACTAACTGCGGAGTTGCTGCATTTATTTAAGCTTTCAGGCTGGCCACTGCCGAACCCGCAGGCATTGGGCTACCGTTTACCGTCACCGCCCTTGGGCTGGTTGACGACGGCCTACAGAGGGTATTCTCCTTTTCTCCTCTCTTTGCAGTGTGAGGAAATAAGCAATTGCCCATTGTCACGTATTGCGTTTATACATGAGAAAGTAATGATCAATCGTAAAGAATGCGAAAGCTCTGACGGGGCCCTCCTTCTGCGCCTTCAAGGACGCAGGGCCCCCGTGCCGATCCGGGTCACACAGAGTCCTGCGGGGGGCCCCTCCCCTCCTCGCTGCACCGCCCCAGAGCGTTAGCCTTTTTCTGAATATATATGAATTTGACACCCTTGAAGAAGCTGGTATTTGCCCTTACGCACCTTTACGGGGTGCACAGTGAGGCCCCAACTTATCTACAGCAGTTTCCAAGCCGCTGCGTTCAACAGCCCTTCCTAGAAGGCAGACTCCATGTGTCTCCCTATGAGCCAGTTTGAAGGCCTCTTGGACCTCTCACCGTGACAGGGGCCTCCGTTCCCGCGCCCTTCACCCTCAATATATTGGGGAACCCTGCCGGCAGCCCGAAGGCGTAAGGTCCACTACGGCTAAGTGGAGAGGCCTACCCCCGAAACATGTCTCAACAGTTCTTATACTTGTGCCGCTACCCCTACCTGGACCTGACCCCATCTACAGATGAACCGCTGGTTTCCTTTCACGGAGAAGAAGGGGGGGGCCCCCCGGGGCCCCCCCCTCTTAGATCCGCTGAAGGCTGCAGTGGACAGCCCCCGGGGACTTGCCGTCTAAGGGAACTGCTGCAGGCACGACTGCAATCGCCAGACGCATTTGCTGTCTCTGAGGCGAGATCCGCCGTGGCCGTCGCCTTTGCGCTGAACGGCTGCACTGTTTGCGGCTGCTGGTGCAGCAGCATCAGCAGCTGCAAGGAATCATGGAATGCGGAAGACGCCCATCAAAACCCCAAAAGGCGCAAGATGGAGGGGCCCCCAGGGGGCCCTACCTGCACCACGTTCTTTCCTGCCCATTTGCAAGGCAGCAGCCCGCCACACACACCACGCACCCCTGCAGCACCAGCAGAGCCACCAGCAGCCGACTCCGACAGCTCCTTCTCAGCAGATTCTTCCAGCTGCAACAACGGGAGGCACATTTGCATCTTCGTGATCGATGCCATGACTCGCCGTGCAGTCTGCGGTTGGCGCCTAATGGGTGGGTCACCTTCTAGGGACAGCAGCAGTGCCCTAAAACGCTCGGCGCGCTGCACCCGTTGTGGAGAAGGCCCCTCAAAGGCTTCTTCCACGACGGGTTTAGGTCTGAGCTGCATGCAGTTCGCAGCTGGGGACGCCTTCTTGTGCCTTAGAGACGACGTGACAAGACGTTTCTGGATGCTGGACCTTCAGCAGGAGCAGGCACATTACCACAGCTGGTGGCAGCCTCGTGATGCGCTGATTGCTGCCGTTTTCTCGGTGAAATCTACCGCGGGTGTTTCTGGAGCTGCAGCAGAAGTAGAGCCAGCCGTGAAAAGCCTTATTGGACAGCCCTCCCTGGGGAAAGCGGCCGATATCTCCCATGCCGGAGCGCCATCTGCAGAAGGCCCTGAACATGAACTGGTTCTGCTGCATGCGCATGCGAATGAAGGAAGAAGCGACCTCTCAGCGGCGGGTGTCTCCCAGGGGACCTGGACCGCCCCTTGCAGTGGGCCTTCCTGCACCAGTTCGGGGCCCTTTACGTTGGCGCTGGAGCCGCTGGAATTCATCGACAGCAGCGGCAACGCTTCTCCGAAGAGCAGCGGCACATGCTGCTGCATGCGTCTTCTGCCGCCGCTGCTCGCAGTGGCTCCGTGGACGTACACCTTCACAGCGGCGCTGCAGCAGAAGGGGCGGGAGCCTGTGCTGGTGTCCACAAGCACGGGACCGCACTGGCAGAAGAATCAGCTGCCAAAGGCCCCTCGAGGGCCCCCTGCTGCCTGTGGGCGGGAGCGGTGTGAGCAGAAGCAGAAGCAGATGCAGATGCAGCAGCAGCAGCAGCAACAACATCGGCAGCAAAGGGAGTCGGTGTCAGCAGCAGCAGCAGTGTGTGTGCTCTGCCGTCCGGCGGCTGCTGCAGCTGCTGCGGGTCTGCAGCAGCTTTGGGGGTGTGGCTTCCGCTTCGTCGTGTGGCCTCCCTTAGTGGGTGCTGCAGCCGCTGTTGCTACTGGAGTGCCGCTGCTCGCAGGCGCTGCTGCGGCTGAAGGCCCCTGCCTTGTTGGCACTGACCTGGCCGCTCTGTTGGTGAGGCGCAGCACCGCTGCAAATATTCAGGCAGCAGCAGCAGCGGAACGCATTGCAGTCGCGTGCTGCGATGGTGCTGCTGCACTGCAGCAGCAACAGCAGAAGCAAGCGCAGCAGCCACGGCGGTCAGGTGAAGCTCCTCCTGGTGAGCCTGCACAGCCTGCAGCAATGCCGACACAGCTCGCATCAGCGGCTTCGGCAGCAGATCGCGGCAGCTACTTCAGCACGGCAGCAGAAACTCGTGCGCTACTTCTGCGGTCGGCTCTCCCCCTCTCCCGGCCTGCTGCTTCCTCCTTGAGGCTCCTCTTAGGGCAGCAGCTGACGCTGCTGCACCTGCGGGGGTTCTACAGGCGGCTGCTGCAGCAGGCACCCCAAATCGAGAGGCCTCTGCTGCTGTGCCCAGAGGCGGCAGCGGCAGCTGCAGACGGCAGCAGCTATTGTATTGCCTGCCAAAGCCACGCAGCGGCGCAGCAAGAGCTTGTGGTTGCTGCGCACACGATGGATGATCGGCTGCAAGTGCGACAGTACACCAGCAGCAGCAGCAGCAGCAGCAGCGCGTGTACTGAGGTCGTGTGTGTTGTTGATTTCAGCAAGGCCCCTGTGGTAGAAATGCCCGCTGCTGCCCTCACAGCACTGAAACTACCATCTAGAGGGCCTTCTAAGGGTCTCGTAGGGGTAGATTCCGCGTGCGAGCCGTCTAGTAGCCTCCTTGTTGCTCATTGTGACGGCCATGGGCTGCACGTGCTGCTGCAGCTACACGGGGGGGGGTGGGGTCTTGCATGGCTGGTGTACAGGCAGCAGCAGCAACAACAGCGGCAGAAGGGGAAGCCGCTACAGCCGCAGCAGAATTGGAGTGTACAGGCTGCAGTGCGCATTCCGAATGCTCCGTGCCTTTTGTTTGCTGCCTTTGGAAGGGAGTTTTGCGGCACGAAACTCGTGGCTTTGGCATCTGCAGAGGTACTTCGCCAGTCTGTGCTGCTGATGCTGTGGTGTTGCTGATGGCGGGGGGATGGCTAGCTGCCCAGTTCTGTTGGCGTGACTGCTGCCGACGCTTGAGGCTTCGGCTTTATATGCATCTTGCAAGAATCCTTGCGTTCTTGGCGCACTGTAACAGGGTGGACCCGTGCTCCTGCTAGACTGGTTTCGTCTCCTTACACCCGAATGCCTGCAGCAACGGCAGCAGCAAGCTGCTGTTGCAGAAGCGAGTCCCCTGCTTCAGCACTGTGCTGTTGTACGGCTTCATCCAAATCACCGGTTGCACCGTGTAAGCGGCTTTCTCTAGCCCGTGGCCTCCTTTTTCCTGGTGCAGTGGCCCCCCCTACTAGCAGTCCACCCATTCATCCACAGAAACGGCTCTGGTATCGGCCGCATACAACGGTAGGAGCACCAGGCTTGCCTGGGGGATGCCTGTGTCTGTATGGATGTGTGCAGATAACGTTCTGGCCACCCTATGGCGCCCTGATTCTTCATCTGAAACATCGCGTTGGCGGCAGCAACAACAACAGCGGATGTGGCAGCAGTGGTGCAGAAGGCGGATCATTTTCCGCAGCAGAAACACGATCTGCAAGAGGAGCACCCCTCTTACGGGTTCTGCTCCCTGGCTGGTGCAGATGCGGTGACAAGGCAGCCGTGAGAGATTTCCTCCTGACGGACTCGCTGCTTGAGCTTCAACAGCCAAAGCAAAACTGTGCCGCAGGTCTTGGGGGGTCCACTACGCATTTCTTTAGAGAATTCCGAGAAAAGGTCAGTGGGCATTGCTACCACTTTTGCGGCTGTCGCTGTCAAACTGTGTGTGTCGTCCTGCGTCTGCTTCGCCGCTGAGGCTTCCTGCCGCTTGTTTACTGGCAGTGTGTGCCTTCCATGGCCCCTGATGGACCGCGAAATAAAATATTCAATCTAGGGCATGAGTCGTATGCTCAGATCTGGCGTTCCTCTTGGCCACGCGCCGCTGACTGTCTAGTAAGAAGCAGGACTCATTTTGTAATGCGTTTGAGGAGCTCCCGCGGTGCTCCTGAGAAGTCCTCGTTGAACCCCCTGGTTCTGGTGCCGGTCTGCTCGCCCCTTCTCATGGGGTGTCAAGCCTTCAGTGCTACGGCCGATCAGCAGTATCGGGCAATGCAGCAGCGCTGGGAAGAGGCGATATGGCAGCAGCAGCAACAACAACAACAGTGCAAGGCGGACGGCAAAGTGCCTGGCAGTGGAGGTCCTTCAGGTGCCAGGGATGTCGCTGTAGACAGCACTGCCGTCGATCCCCGAGGCCCCACCCCTGCAGGGAGTCTTTGCAAAGAGACGCCTCTGGAGGGCCCTTTAGGGCTTTGTGAGGAGACGGATGCCTTGTGGGAACTGCCCCAGACCCGCGTGTCTCTCAGAGATGAGCTATTTGGGTGTTGTAGTGACACGCCAAGCAGCAGCAGTTGTAAGACTCCCAGCGGCGAGGGGAGAGTAGTGTGGCTTGGCGGCGATGGCCAGTGGTCTGTAAGGGCCCTGGGGACCCCCGCTCTGGGCGCGTGGGTGCATGCAGTTGCTTCTGCTACTACAACTCAGGACTGAGGGAGCGCAGCGGCTTAGCCCTCCGTAGGCTGTGTGGCCCGTAGCTCTGGCCAGCCGTACAGTTGGTCAAACTGCCCTTACAGCGCCATTAAGGCTAGACTTCGCTTTTAAGCTTATGAAGACAGCTGCTTGTGGGGCAGCAGCAAAAGAGGGAGCAGTAGATTCCGTCGGGCACCGCTCGTTGACGGAGCTGGGAGGGACCCAAGGCCGCAGATACAAAAGCAACCCCGGTAGTTACGGGGACACGTACGCGGCTACCTAGCCAACTAGTGGCTATCTACTGTCTCTGCAGAGTTTCTGCCAAACAAGTGGCCGGACGGCTAGTGACCCAGCGAGTTGTCTGCCGCTGCGTGGGTTTGTGTATACAAGTGCTCGTCAATTCAGATCGTTCTCTTATGAGTCAGGGAGCCCCCATATGTGCGCCAAGAGGAAGAAGGTTCTTCGTGTGTGTGTATAAAACGGAGAGGAGCTGCTTGCAAGCCCCTTTGTGAGAATCAAAGCCCTCAAGTTTCCAGCGCTTCGGTTGGGCGCTGTTTGAAGGGCACCTGGGAAGAAATTCTGTCCATCAGAGGCCCTTGCGCTGTTGATCCCCAGTGTCGGAAGTCTTTCAATTATATGAACCGAGATGAGGCCATAGCTTGGTGTTTTTGTACGGGGGGGGGCGAGAGGGGGGAGGCGTTCCGAAGCCATGGGCCTACTTCGTTGGGGCCCCCTCTTGCCCGCACGGCTGAGGGGCAACAGAGAGAATGTTGAATTACCCTGGAAGTGTGCGGCAGACGCCCGAAGGTAATGCAAGGCACTCCTACCGCGTCTGTAATGCCCTCTGGGTGTGGCGCCTTAGTCGCGCATTCGTCAGGGGCGTGTGCTACTTGCGAACGATGGAATCCAGCCAAGCGAGGAATTGATCCCACAGAGAATCGCCACTGCTGTTGTGCACCAGGCCCAAAATGAGGCCTCCGCCGACCAACACCGCCACGATCACAAGGACACTTATCAAGCAGACCCAGCACATCGTGGCTGTACGTGACGAGGCTGCACATACGACTTTGGCCAGGGCTGTGGCTTCAGTCCTTTGCGGCGCCCACCCCTCGGGTGAAGCCGATGCTGCTGCCGAAGGCGCTGCTTGTTTAAAAGGACGGGCAGAGCCTCCCACGCTAGTGGAAAGCACGGAACAAGGGGGACGGACACTTTAAAACGGGTTACTCCGGTGGAGGGCACACGAGACCGCCACAGGTCGCGCAGGATATACAGAGGCAGGGCGCCTATGGCGCTCTTTTACGCGTTAGAAAAACAGAAAGAGGATTTACCTGCAAAGATGCCGTACACGAGAAGAGACAGAATCGTGCGGGACTGTGCATTGGCGCCAGCGAGCCCGATGGAACACTCTTGCGCAAACATTGAAGTACTACGCATCGTTCTTCGACTTCGCACAATTTGCATCTTTCCCATAAAGATTCTCAGAAACTGAGCAGTAGGGAAGTTATTTTTGGTCTTCCCTTGTGAGGCTCCACGCCCCAGGCGTGCAGCTGCCATAGCCGAGTAGGGGGGGCCCCGTGTATGTGCGTGGCTACCCCCTTGGCGCTTGGAACCATGCACCGCACGGGCCCGACTTTCGCATCCGTAAAACACATAGCACTGCTAATGTGCATGCGTTTTAAGGCCTCCCACGGATACGTGCTTTGCATTCTCAGCAAGAGCCTTCAGTGCCCTACAGAGGCTCAAGCTACCACTGGAGGGGGGCGTCGTCCCCGGGTCCTGAGCCCTCCAACCGGAGCTTCCTCGGATAGCCATCTTCCTGGGAATACCAATAGATTTAGCACTGTAGGATCGGAGATTCAAGCTTAGGGAAGGGGGCTTATGTCTGGACTTCATGGCAGTTCGCCGCGGAACTACATCGCTGGGAACGCCGTGACGCCAACAGACACACAGCCAGCACAACAGCAAAAGCTGCTCTCCCCCCTTCTCCCCCTCCGCCAGCCGAGGCAGCGGGAAACCCCGAATCTCCGAATCTGCGTTTTCGAAATACAGGAAGCGTCGTGGAATCATGTCTTGCTCAACATCAACGGCGACCTCTGCTGCTGGCGAGACGGAGCAACAAAAAGAGGAGCTGGAGCAGCAGCATCTGCAGCAACAGAAGCACCTCTTGCAGCAGCAGGAGCAGGAGCGATTTTCGAATCAGCAACAGCAGCAGGTAAATAATGAACCTCAGCCACAGCATCAGCAGCACCAACATCGCCAGCGGCAGGAAGCGCACACTCAAGAGAAGCAACAACCGCAAAGCGTTCCCTCTGAGCACCCGCTTATGCACCAGGACGCGCAGCTACAACAGCAGGAAGTAGAGGGCGCGCGTCTTGCTGATTGTTTTGCCTCTCAATGTCTCTCCGACGACTTCTTCAATAACACATGGGAACGGAAACACCACATATGGCGGAGAGATGCACTTAAGAGCCATTCGATTGGACCGAATTTATTTAACCCAGTCAGATGCCTTGCACGTCGGGGGATGTGGGAGACCAACCGTTTTCAATAAGCCTGCAGTTTCCTCGGCTTTCTCAGTTTCCACATCCTTTGCGTTTAGTTTTGCGTTCTTATAGCTGCACCCTGCGCCTCAGTCCCTGCTGCTGCACTTTGCCTGTATCGTTGCACCTCGCATGTAAATCCTTTCCACCTCCTTTCTACGTCCTCGTCCTCCCTGCAGGCCCCTAAGCTACCCTCATTCGCCCTCCTTCATTTTCGCTCTCCGTGTGCCTTCCCGTTCTGCCTCCTGTCTCCGCAGTCTTCTTTTGCGGAGCTTATATACCGTGTTTGGATGGCTAACAACCTCGCTCTCTTTAAGGTCGGCACAGGCCCCAAGCCTCCACATTCCAGGCGTCCTGCGAACAGGCCATGCAGCTTCCTCATGTCATCCTTGGCTGCTTGCACGAGCAAGGCTCTCCCTTTTGAACAGATCCCATAGGACCCATGCACACTTTCAATGATGGCTTTAGCCTCTGATAGGTCGCCTATGGGTTCTCGTTGACACGTCACTGTAGGATCGTGGAGTGAGAAGGGTAAATATTCGGGCGGCCCTTACGGCCCCTGGAGGATTCATGGTGTGTGTGTGTATGTATATATATATGTGTGTGTGTGTTTATATATATATATATATATGTGTATGTGCGCTTGTGCGGTGGCCATGTTATTTTTTGTTTAGGAGGGGACGGCGATAGAGGTTGGAGTACCACCCTCCTGGCCATCAGGGAGCCGCGTAGAGGGCCCTGCCCTCGCTGTTTGGGGGTGTTTGCTGCGTCCCTATTTGGGGACCACTTCGTATATCCTGAATCAGGCTGACAGGGGGTCTCCGATGCTGTATGCCTTCTGCCGGCGGCTGGCTGAGAAGCTCTTTTACCATGTCTTTGCTGTTGGTTACCTTACTCCCCCGAAGTCGTACACGGTTGGCGCTCACACAGATGCACAGGTACGAGGAGAAAAAACCCTGACAGTTTCCCGTTTTTGCAGGATCCTTGAATTATTCGGGGGGTAACGCCGCAGAAAGTTTTATTATCATACGATTCGGATTGTGCAGCGTACCACAGGGCCACGAGAGGGCTTGTTTCCAGCGCCTTTTCTCTCCTAAACATTCCTTGTTGCTGCTCTTCTTGTGGCCGGAGAAGCCGTCTTTTTGCAAGGGTCTGCGGTGGAATGCCGCAGGACGTGTTCTTGCTGCAACTGTGGGGATGTAAGGAGTGGGATATTTACAATTCGCCTCTGGGCCTCTGCCTGAGCTCCGAGATGCTTGGCAAGAAGGGTCCAATTGAGCAGGCAAGCGTGGGACGAACAGGACAGGAAAAAAAACAAAGGATAGCGAGGTAGAGACAGCGCTAGGGGAGTAGTGGTATTGAGAGACCGCATTACAGATGCACAGACACTAAACACCGTTATGCAGAGGAAGACGGAAACAGGAGTTCAACTGCAGAGCCACTTACGCATCACCACGTATAGAAGTGGTGGACAGAGAGAGACAGAGAGAGAGATGCTGGGGGCAGACGCAGGGAGAGCTAGGAGCAGACACAGGGAGAGCTAGGCACCGTGAGAGGCACATGCAGCGCGATGCAAAATACGCGAACAGTGTACAAGAAGTGGGAAGCAGAAACACGAAGGTGGTGGAGGGGAAGACTATTGGCTTTAAGGGGCGAACGCACGGAGGCAACAAACATGCAAACGCGCGGGAGGTATGCTTCACGCGTGTTTGTGCTCTGTGTTCTGCTGCAGGATTTGGGTACCCCCACGTCATTTTGCCTGAATGCGGGCGACATCCTGTACATACCTAGAGGGTAAGTGAATTCTTCTGTTCTCATAGGGCTGGGCTTGTGGCTACTGAGCGAATTCCCCCTTGGAGGCCCTTCTTGATGAGTTGTGTGCACGAGGACTAGGGGTTTGTGGTTTTGTGACGACCTAGAATGGCCCACAAGGGAAGAACTGCTGAGGAGATATCACTGCACGTGACAATCACCATTCCCACTGCGGAGTTTAGTCATGTAAGTCCCACACTCCAGCAATATGCCCCCACGCATACTGATGCATCTGGATTGCAGCAGCCTAATGGCGAGCAGCAGCAGCAGCACCGTCACAACCAGGAGGCAGCATCAGCGCAAGCAAGTATCTCATGCGTTCGCTGGTGCGTTATTATAGGGCATAATGGCGTCTAGGCTGATAAAACGCCTGCTGACGCAGCACCGCCTGCTGGCAGAGAATGAGCTCCATGGAAGACAAGCAATCATCAAGGCAGGTCTCAAGTCTGCATAGTTCGCGATTCAGTCCTTGGAATCATGCAGTCTTCGAATGATTCAGCGGACACCTTACACGCACTGTTTTCTGTGCATGCCTGGGTATTTGGAGATTCGAGCATGTTTTACTTATTTAGGAGACACCGCGATTGGCGGGGGGCCCTGAAACAGAGAAGAGGAGGCGGGAGATGACCAAGCGTTTGCTGGAAGACGTGAACAAACATTTGAACTACGAAGGCCTTCTTGCTGCGTGCGATGATCATGCGGCTAAGTGCGCTGTGTTGGGGCGTTGGCATTAGCCATTGCTTTGGTGCTGCTGGCGGCTGGTTGCTGCATTCCTGTATGTGCTTACTTCGGCTGCTTCTGTCTTCGTGGGTGTCTCTTCAGCTTGACAGCGATGCAATGCTCTCAATATCGCGTATCGCAAGAAGCCGCGGTCAAGCTGCCCATCCACTGGCACTCTGTTGTCAGGCTTCAAGATGGTGAATCTTAGTCGCCAAACCCCAAGTGTTACTGCTTTTGATATCTCCTTGGCCGACTGCCTTTGCGGTGCATGTCAGTTTTGCTTGGCTCTGAGGGCGTTCGCTGAAAGCAGATCCCTCGCAGGGGCTCCCAACTGTATTTGCTATATACACGAACGAGGATGCGCAGGAAAGTCGGTGGCCTCAGGCACTTCTGGGGAGCTTGCTGGGAAAGTGGCAACCTTTGGAGGCACTCATTACGGAGGGAGAGATATTCCGTGCATGGAGCAGAGGCTCTGGGGACGATTGTACAGTTTACTGTTCGGTTATTTGTGCAGGCATTAGCTGTGAATGTGAAGAAGACAGCAGCACGGCTATTTTCACAAAGGGGACCGCAGTGTAAGCTTCACTTCCTCTGGGCATTCTTTCGGAGGGCCAGTCTTCCCTTCGACACCACGATTTCTATGACCCGGGCTAATACGTCGCAATCTGCTTCTTAGGAAACACCTCATGAGGCACTAGCTGCTTCTTTAAACTGCAGGTCGTCTAGTTGACGCCGTAGGCATAGACCGTCCTTAGACACGTTTGCCCCCAAAGTTGTCTTCTTGTGAATGCTGTACTGTTTGCGCTGGAGAGGGAACAGGATTGTAGCTAACCAGATCCAGTAGTGCTGCAGCATTCATGCTACAGCGTTGCCCCCGCTACGGACTCCTGTGCCTTCCATACGGCTGTATCCGTGGCTGCAGACTGCGACTGCCGATCTGTCCCACGGCTTCTGCGGTAATGAGAGTCCTTGCTCAAGGAGAGCCAATAGAGGTGGGGCCCTCGATATGTCTGTCTGCTCCCCGTCGCGTTGCATCTACCTTTCTGTCTTTTTCTGGCATACTGAGCAGCTGTGTAGCAGCTCTATCTCTTCTACTGTGCTTTTCGGATTGAGGACCTTTATTCATGTGTTCCCCTTGTGTGCTTACTCTTCTTCCCAGGTCGCTGAGCTGCCCTGCGCGGATGGGTTTGAGGCCTTCTGCGTCTGTGTAGTGCTTCTCAACAAGGGCCTGATTCAGGTGGAACGGTATTAGCAGAGCACCAAACGGCAGGGAAGCTGCCACGGTCTTTGCCCTATTCATAGGAACACGCATGAACTCCTGCATGAGCATGAACCTCGTTGGATGCTACTATCCTGGGCAGGGCTTTGTAGAGACGCGATATACTGCGAATCCTAAGCCATTAGAGGAGGGACCAGCAAGTCCTTTATTCCCCTCTTCCAGCACGTATGCGGAGTCTCCGTGACTAGCTGTTGCTGCAGCAAAGAACCAGCAGCAGAAGCGCGGCAGCAAGAGAGACAAAGCAGCAGCTATAGCCAAATAAAGCATAGGAGAAAAGACGTTGCTTAGGCATAGTTGCTGCATCTGCTCGAGATATGATGAGAAGCGAACGACGTAACGCAAGTTAGTAGACAAAGTCGGAGGGGCTATGGTCATGCAGATTGCGTGCGGCACTACCCAATTGCTGCTTCGTGGCTGCGTACTTTTCACCCGACCGCGCCACCAATATTTGTTTCACAGAAGGGCTGTACGGGCTCTTCGACTGGCAGCATCCTGATGCAGGATGGAGGCCAACGCAACGACGAACATTTTATAGAAGTAATGCTCAAGCGAATGTTCTAGTTTTGTAGCGCATTTAGGTGTGCCAGTCTACCAAGTACACTGAAAGATAGCATGGAATTGAATGGTTAGGCGCGAGCAGCCCGAGGGCCTACAGTATGTGGGATTATTCCCGTCTCTCCTTGCTTCTGTTTTGTCAAAAAGCAACCGACGCTGCATCTCACGCTAAAGGCCTCAAGGCCTATACAGTTATTAGGACTAAAGACTGCATATACCAAGGTGGCACACGGTGAGATCTTGTGTCTGGTTGTTGTCACCAAGCGTGCATCTGCAGCTTTGAAGGATGCAAGCATCCCTCTTCTGGTGGCATGCAGTGCCTTTTACAACGTTTGTTGTTCGGCAGTTGCGCAATCGCCCCAGATAGTTATTGGGGCCACTAGGCTTTCTCTTGATCCTCGCTCTTCCACCAACTGCATACAACCAAAAGAACGAGCTTCTAGGGAGGGTGCAGGTCGAATGCTGTCGGCTGCGGTCATCTGCATGCGCCACAAGGAACATCCCGGGGCTTTAAGAATCTCTCCGCGTTTTCCTTTGAAGCAGCTCCTCCCTAATGTTGCTAAGAAAGTTTATTGCACTGTATTGTGGGTAGCTGTTTCAACAATCTGTCGTGGGGAGCAAGTTGCCTCACCTCCAGACAGAGGGAAGTCAGGGCCCTTCTGTTGCTTTTCGTTGCTGGCCACTTGGTGGTCCTGCATGAGTTTCAGTTCCTCGTTTTGTATTTAGAAGAGGAGGATGGGGTTTCATATTCAGAGCTACATTGCCATGGCTGGGCGGGCAATAAACCCCGTGCGGTGGAAACGACAGTGGCATGAGATGAAGGGCCGGCAATTTAGTGACGTTTCGACGCAAATGATGGCATGGACAAACAAACAGTTTGCTCAGATTGCTCGTTGGTAAGTCTCCGAGTGAAAATAAGCTGATATCCCTGGGTAATTTCAAACTGGTGCACAACCCTGCGACTTTGGCGAGCAAGTGGCGCTGCAGCCATGCACTTGAGGCGGCGCCCTGGTCTTTTCCTCTCCCAATTTCTTTTCGTGATCTCCTTTAGGTTCCTGTGGAAGGCAGCATCTTCAGATTAATCCCCCTTATACTCATCATCAGACAGAACGCTTGAAGCGATTGCGAGTGAAACATTTATTTCCCACTTCTGATGCGCGTTGTGTGCTTATCGCTATTATTCATGGTGATTACCGCTACCGCATACATCGTACTTTTATTAACTGTCTCCCTGTGAGCTTTGACTGGACTTGTGCGACCTCACTTTCCTTCTACATCGCTTCCCAGGAAGCACCGTTTCCCTGCGTTGAACGGCACAAGTGGTCTTGCAGTTTTTCCCTCCATATGATTGTCTCGCCTAGCTACGTTCATTGTCACGTAACATCCTAGCCTGAGAAGGCGAAAAAACAATGCATGGCAAGTGACGTGTTCTTCGTGTCTTGGCGTGAGCTTCCCTGCAGTTGAGCTGCAACGGAGATGCCGTCTATGCATGTGAAATTTAGGAGGAGACTTGCTTTCACGGATTATCCGTTTCCTTTATGCTCAGCCTGCGAGCAGGAGTCGTTTTTGTTGCTTTTACTTTGTTTTCTGCATGTCAAAAAACGCGGTTCTTTGCTTTCATATGTGGGTTTCTGCGCTTCAGCTCCGAATACCGGCGTTGGTGGTGGGCTAACCCCCTCGGCATGGGCCTCGTCTTCTACGGTGGATACAAGGCGTGGCATATGATCTACATGGTTCGCAAGCAGAAGAAAAGTGAGGCTCTTTCTGCCCTTTCCGTCTACTCTTCGTAGAGCAGCTGGGCCAATGCTGTGTGTGGTATACTCAGCGCAGCGAACTGCGATCAGTGCGAATTCAGGCGTCATCGTTACACTCCCCTTTACGCATTTGCTGGCACCTGTTGTGTGAACGCAGCTGCCCAGATCGTTGCTGCAGCGTACGGCCAGGGTGGACAGTGGCTGAACCCCGTTCCCAAGTAATCGTGTAACGGTTGGCAGACTACGCTCTGAGCGTTTCGCCGCATAGCGACCTCTCCCCAAAGAAGCGTGCTGCTGATCGGCGGCAGCCTCCTTCGTAGAATACCCCACAGGGGCCTCAAAATGCACGAAGGTGGAGTGACAGTACGGCAGGCAGCCGCTGCCCTCGTCTCTGCATAGTTTGCACAGGCCTGCCACGCACCTCCTTTCAAGGCCAAACTGTGCGCTGGCGACAGCAACTTTTATCAAAGAAGGCTCTCGGGCATGCCAGAGAGGGCAAGCAAGATGGCCTCATGCCTTGGCAGAGGGCACCTGCATTTGCATGCCGATCAAGCAGCAGTTCTTACGAAGGGTCTTCTTGGAGGCCACTTCTTTTAGAGGCGCCCGACGGGAAGCCCTTCTTGGAGGGCTAAACTTCGGGTGAACAATGGCTCACTGCCAGAACTAAGCAACATATGCGACGGTATCAGTTTGATGATGCTCATGTCTACTGCATACTACAGCTCGCCTTTTTGGAGGCTAGAGTTTTCCCACGAAGAGGTATCAATGCTATTCAGATGTCTCGATGTACATACAGGAAGTAGCGCAGTAGTTGCTTCCTGCCTTTCCCTGGAGCCATGGGGAGAGACACTCCACCGAAGCGGGTTCTGATACATAAATAAACGGCCAAAGTAGCCTTGTGGCGCGGCTTATGCGCCTTCAAACTATGCACAACCGCCAGCCACCGAAATCGCTGCTGTAAGGAATTCGCAGCACCAAAAAAGTTCGTACCTACCTAGCGTCTGGCGCACTTATTTAGTACATTCAACGTTTCTGAATGGGGGTAGCCCACCCCACCGCAGCTTGCGGCTGGCTAGGCTTCGGAACTCTCGTCGCTGTCCTCTTCTCCTTCGCTGCTGCTGCTGCCGCTAGAGAGAACTGACACCACTAGTCTCTGGCCGTTACAACCAACTGACTGCTTCCGCGCTGCGAGCGCACGCTGTAAAGCGTCCATAGGAGGCCCAGGGCCCCCTGATCCCTAAATTCGCAGAACGACAAGGAAAACATTGCACCCCTTAGACCCCCGGGATAGGGAGGCGAGACACATAAGAAAGAAGTGCAGACAGGCAAAAAGCGTGCAGCAGTCGGATGGCAGGGCCGAAAGCAGATGGTTGAAACAACCGTAGGCAAGCGATGCAGTATGCGGATGCGAGAACGCAGTGCTGCCCATTGAGCAGAACAGATGATGCGGGGAGGAGGGGCCGGAGTTCATGTGTGCTAGAGACTGACCAGTAGCACTGGTGAATCCTCAGGGAGTTCCACAACTTGGATGCCCATCTGCGCTAGCCGCGTGTCATCTGGAACCTGGCCCATTACGTCGAGGACCCCTACACCTACCTCTGCATACATACATACATACACACGCATGCAACCACAAAGCAGGAAAAGAAAGATGGGAAGCACGTCACCAGATTACGGCTGCCAGTGGATGCCGCTCGAGACACGAGAAATTGAAGTGTGGTGCGCACCCAACTCTACCACAGGGCCCTCGGAGTCGGAATCTAGCTCTAGCCGCTCAGTAAGGGGTCTTTGACTCCTTTCCACTGCGCTGCTATCGTCTCCCTTGCCGCTGCTACCGTCAGCAGGTGTTTCCTCTTCTCTCCCGCTGCCGCTCTGGGCTGCTCCCTCCAGTAGAGGCAGCAAAGACCGACACCGTTCGGAGAGACTGGCTGCCTGAGCGGCAGCTGCTATCGCCGCAGCCCGCGCTGCTACCTCCGTGAGCACAGGGGGCACCACACAATCAGCATCACCGCTGTTGTTGCTGCAGCCGTTTGGGGGCAAGCAGCATGTTTGAGCTGGACGTGCTCCTGCATCCGTTTCTGTGAGGACCTCCTCCAGGTGCAGGAGGGAATTGTCAGCTGCCATGACGCGCAGCCACAAGAAGCAGCTGTCACTGCTCTTTCTGCACCTCTCCTCTGCTACTGCCGAAGAGTGCGCTACGTGAAAGAGCACCAGCGAGGTCAAAAGGGCGTATAATACAACCTGCAAAGGCGGGATGGAAAGCCAGACTTTAATGAACGTTAATGAGGGAATATATACATATATATATCCTAAACTTCGGCTCAACAGTTTTGGACGAAAAAGCATAGAAACACGTTTGGGGTATGTGATCACACTTCGTTTCATATCGAAGCGAACTGGGTGCTGCTGGATGCCATTACCGAAAGCATTTTTTCCCCCCCAAAAGTAGCAAAATAAAGGCCTACCCAAAGGGTTAAACAGGCAGCACGTGCGACGTAACCGTTTACTAGCGGAGGAAGCAGAAGGCGTTTTTTCGGGGCTTATGTCAGACCCATGCCAGCAGTTCCAAGTTGAGCAGTAGGCAGCAGCAGCAGCAGCAGGCAGCAGCAGCAGCAGCAGGCAGCAGCAGCAGCAACATCAGGCAGCAGCAGCAGAGGCTACGGCAGTTGAAGCCGCAGCGTTGCCTCTCCCCACAGGATGTTGGCTGGGGTGCAAAGGGGCTGCTGCTGCGCCAGTGGGGGCCGCTACTGCTCGGTGGTCTACCAGCTCCCCACGTGGGTTGCTGTGGAGGGGCTAGGTTCGGGGTTTCCCGTTTGAAAATTGGGGTTTGTTGCCGGCCTACTCTGCTTTGCTGTTTTTTCTTTTCCAGCATCTCCTCCCATTCTCCTTCGGAGACCTTGTGGGTGCAGCAGCAGGGGGGTTGACGGAGCTGCTGCCTGTGCTGCTGTTGTCGTTGCTGCAGCTTTGGTTTACAGTCTGTCTTTTGTTTGGTTGTGTTTTTCTGTCTGTTGTTCCCTTTCTCTAATTTGTCTAGTGTGAAAATGTCTGACGCTGAGGATGTCACCTTCGAGACCGCAGATGCGGGTGCCTCGATGACCTACCCCATGCAGGCTGGGGCCATCAGGAAGAACGGGTTCTGTATGTTGAAGGGGAACCCGTGCAAAGTCGTCGACTTCTCCACTTCGAAAACCGGCAAGCACGGTCACGCCAAGATACACTTAGTAGGTCTTGACATCTTCACTGGGAAGAAGTACGAGGATGTTTGCCCCACATCTCACAACATGGATATTCCGAACGTGAAGAGGACGGAGTACCAGCTCGTCGACTTGTCCGATGACGGATACTGCTCTCTTCTTCTCGAGAATGGGGACCTGAAGAGCGATCTTACGCTCCCCAAGGACTCTGAGAACAACTTGGAAGAAGCGGCCCAACAGATTCAGACGCTCTTCAAGGCAGGCAAGGGCATCCTGGTGACCGTCCTGTCCGCATGCGGAAAGGAGAAGATTATTGCTTGCAAGGAGCTTTAGGAAACAGAGCAGAGGGTTAGAAACACAAAAGGGGGTGAGTGGGGGTAACAAGTGAGCGCCGGCAGCAGGGCCAGCTAAAACAGGGCAGGTGCATCGAGGGGCGTGCATCAGGAGTGCTCTCCCGCTGCTGCCTTTAAGATCTCACGGGAGACACTTGACGAGGTGGCGTCTTTTGTACTCGGTAACAGCTGCTGCACTGACAGCGCCATAACCGGCGGCTCGGGCGCTGTCTACACGACGCGAACAGCTGCCCTCTGCTAGAGTCACCTTCACACTCATTTCACACGACTCTACCAAGTATTGCACCTCCTCTGGCTGCGGCCGAGCTTTTTGTGTGGCACATAGTCTAGCGTTTGGGTGGTACTGAATGTTGGGCGCGCTGTAGGGGCCGGCCCGCTTCCAGCTTGCCAAGTGTTTTGACCTCGCTTCTGCCCACTTCCTAGGCTTTCGTAGTGCGAGGCTGGGGATTCATAACCCATGAAGGCCATAGGGCGTTTGAGGCGTGTGTATTGCCGTTTAGCACCTAACGAGTTCTGTCTGCTTTCGAGGGGTGGCAAGGGAACTACCTGGCCTGACATTCGGCCAGGTAGTTCCTTCGCTGGGTGTACGGCGCATCGAAGAGTGTTACGCATATGGAGCGAGCTAATGACGAGAAGGGCGGATGGATGCGATGCCCAGTGCTTAGTTTTACTGCTACCGATTGGCACTCTTCCCCGTGGCCGCCTCGAAAGGGGGCTGCGCTAGTACGGCTGCTACCGCAGTGGGGAGAGCTCTGCAGAGACGTGTAACTTGGCACAGCTATCCATGTGCACGCCGTTTATGGGTGAAACACTATGGGTGGCTCTTATGGTACAATTTGCAAGGCGAGGTCCTTCTTGCCAAGAAGCATGGCCCTCCAGGCCCAGTAAAAGCGCCGTATGGGGTCAGTCGTCTTGAGGCGCATACATTTCTGCAACAAGGCGGCATAAAATCAGCGAGGTTCGCGCAGGTGGACGGGTGAGGGGGTTTAGAGAGAGACCCATAGATTAACCGGGTGGAACCGACTGCAAAGGGGGGGGAGAGAGGACATGGTAGGGGAGGGGCGGGAGAGAGAGAGAGAGACAGAGCCTTACTGCTTGTGCCGCCCTATAGTTGTGGCGTAGACAGTCGGCTGCCACCCCGACCTCAAGGGCAAACCGTTCACCTCCTTCTGCGACTGTAGCGACGCGCGCTGCCACGTTTAGCAACGTGTCTACAGCCTCCTGAAACTCCGGCTGAGATAAACCGTGCTGCTCCTGCACTGCTGCTGCTGCCTTCAAGCAACCGAGGAGGAAGCGCACAAGACTTTCGTTCGACGGCTGCGCCTCAAATACGCGCGCATAACGCCTGTGCCACACAAAAACCTGAGCCATTCAGGCACTTCTACCAACAACGCAGCGGAAGAAGGCGGGCGAAACTCCAGTTACAACGCGTCTCTGTCTGAGGGTGTGGCGGAGGGAACAGGGGGTGCACAGAGACACAGCGCCGGGGGTGTCAGGGAACGGGGAGCGGCACTTGAAGACGACACGAGGGTGGTGCTCTTTCTTACTGAATCGCTTTAGTCCAGATAGAAAGGGCCTCCTGTGGCTGCGCCTTGACGGCCATTTTCTTGAGGATTAAAAAGAGGTGGGAGAAGGCCGAATTTGAAAAGCAGTCCGCTTGCAGAATCCTCTCTGTGTCCTCCACCTCTGCTTCGAGAGAGAGCTTGAAAGTATCAACCAGAAAGGCCCTGTGCAAGACACAGGGAGCAACACGGTTCTTGCAGCAGGCTAGAGGATGGAGGGGGGGAAGGGGGGGCAAGGAAGGACCGAGAAGACAGAAGGGGGAGGCAAAGAAGGAAGAAGATGGTTCTCGACACAGAGCGACAAGAAGGGGCATCTTCAGATGGTGCGAGTCGGAGGGCAAAAGAAAAGCAAGCCCGCCCGCCTCCACAGAGATACGTAAGAGTGAATCGGTGCGATATGCGCGAATCATATCAGAAAGCACTGCCAGATGCCTGCCTACGGGGGTAGGGGGTTAAGGGGACAGCCACAAGGACACTTCGGGGAAACCAGGACAAACTAATAGACTGCACAAGCTCTCAGTGTTAAAAAGAACAAGCGGCACCTGTGCGCCCAGCAACTGTAGTTCTTAAGATCCAGCGATGAGGCTTCCTTGAGGCTGTCCAGCTCTTCTTCTATGGAAAAGCAAGACGGCGGCAAGCGCTGTAGAAGCCAGCGGCGATGAAACCAGGCCTGGTAATTCTTTATGCTCGCGAGGCATACTTCACGGCAGTACCCTGCGACACAGTATGCACACACATGCACACACACATACACATACACATATATATATATATATACACCCACACATACACATATATATACACACATATATATACACACATATATATACACACATACATACACACTATGGATAATGGACGACAGGGTCAGAGGCTGAAAGAGGAACACACAAGTGAACGGCTGTGAGGGAAGACAACACAGGACGCAAAAGGGGAAACACAAGCAGACAGAGAGCATGGCTAAATGGCAGATATAATCGGACAATGCACAAAAACGGTGCATGCGTGCTGCGCTGCCAAAGATATGAAGATTGCCGCATCACAAACTTGAACGACAGGAGGTCATGGATGAAAAGACACAGGAGCGCGCGTGCAAGCAGGTTCGCTTGCAGCAAACAAAGAGCCACGCTACTCGAAAGTCTTGGCTCACGCAGTTCTTCCTCATCCAAAGCCTCTGGATTTAGAGAGAAATAACGGCGCCTTAAGTACCAAGATGTATAATCCCCGCTGTTGGCTTCAATGGCTGCCGTATTCTTGAGCAGGAAGTCCGGAGAATGCAGCAGCGCGGGGATGCCGCATTCTCCGGAGTTCGCGACAATGCCATACAGCTGGTGCTGCTCCCGCAAGAAAGCCTCCTCTACGCCAACACAGGACACACCCCTCGCCACACAATCACCACCAACCCTTGCACTCTTGCTGGGAACCCCTGTGCCGTAGCCACTGACCTTTTTGACTCCCTGCAATAACCGCCACCTCCCGCACTTCGGATCTTGGGAAGATATCCATGGCTTCTGTTTCCGCTGAAAAGGCTGTGGCCTTCCTGCTGCGCAGCCGTCTTGCTTCTCCGTTTACGGTCTTCGTGTAGCGCTACCGCCATAGAGCAGCGTTGAGCCCAGCGCTACTCCACGGCTTCTACAAAAGAAAGTCCGATAGCTCTTGCTCAGCGCAAGCCACCCCCTCTGTGATATGGGCGCTCTCCTCTGCTGCTTTGCGTGCTCCTCTGCTATCCCCCTGCTTCGCTTCTGCTGCACTATGCGACAGCGGCGCTGCTGCTGCTAGCGCCTAAGGGCTCAAACTGCAGCCACTTCGACAGTAGGTGCACCTGTAGTGTACTGCTCCTACACGACGGTGGCGACGGTGCTGCACGGATGCTTTTGCGAGCTGCCTCCGCGCGCGTGCCGCTGCAAGAAATGCAGCAGCTGCGATTCGAGGCCTTTTGAGTTACTGCCACCAAAAGAGCCTCAAGTGTAGGCCGAGTGAGGCGTTTTTGGCAGCAGCGGCAGGGTTGCAAGAACCACGTCGCCTGCTGTCGCTGCCGCTGGGAGCGCTAACAGTCGCTTGAGGTTGCTGCAGGCGCTGCACCGGCGAAGATCTCCTAACCAAACAGTGTTTGTACACAGAAGACTATGGAAGGTCGCCTGTCGTGTGTATATACGCGAAGAGGAGCAGCCACTGCTGCTCCTCGTGCGACAGTCGCGGGAGCTGGGGGGCCGCCAGCCCCAATAGGCGTCCGCGGCTGCTGCTGTTGCTGTTACTGCTGCATGAGGTGTAATCCTGTTTGAGGTGTTTTGTCTGTTTTGTTCCTGTCGGTGCTGTGTGACGCGTCTGCCTGTTGCTCTTGCTGCCGCTGCAGTTTCTGTCGCTGCTGGTGTCTGCCGCTGCGGGGCAACTGCAGGAAAGCGCTCGTTTCGGCCTGTTTGCCCATTCGAACCCTTTGATAGGACTGCACTAGCACGAAAAATGAGTCACCTACTGGTGCGTTATGTCAGTATATAGCTGGCCAACCCTCGAGCTGTAGGGGCCACACCCGCCCCCCCTCCCCCTCCCGCGGTTCTCCCATCGCCCTCCACGCGCTCTATGTGTGTCTCGCTGCTTGATAGTCTTACCTTCCTCTGTGCACCACCTCGATGCAGAGGCACTTGTGCCGCAGCTCCCTCCAAAGACGACGCTTTTGCGCGAGCTGCGGAGGTGTATGCCCTGACACGGCCCTCAGTGCCCTTTTGTCGTGTCTAGGGAGCCTTCGCATCTGCCTTTAGCCGCGTCATTGCGCGCCGCTGTCGCGACTTGTCTTGTTTGCTGCTGCAGCACGCTCCAATAATCCTCTTGAAGGAGGGGGCAGACACCTCTCAGGGCAGAGGCCAAATCATCAGCAACATCAACGCCTGCCAAGTGGTAGTTGACATCGTCAGATCTACCCTTGGTGCGTGCCGAGCTATTCCTCCCTCCCCGCTTCACGTGGCTTTTCTCTGCTACTTTGTTTCGGTAAAGAGCCGGTGTGTCTGGCCACTTGTGTGCTCCTCGATTCTCGCTGTGTCACGCGCGCTTCTTCCTCAGGGCAGCGAATGTCGCTGAGTGTATTGTCTCCTGCTTCCAGCTGGCCGCTGCGAATCACGCCTGTCTCTGGCATTTTCCCGCCTGCCACACTCCTGCTGTTGTTTGTGTATGCGTGTGCTGCGTTCTGCGTCTCTAGGACCCCGAGGGATGGACAAACTGATCGAGACGGAAAGTGGGGCGACTATCACCAACGATGGAGCGACAGTGCTGAACCTTCTTCAGGTCAAACATCCAGCAGCCGCGCTTCTCGTGGATGTGGCACAGAGCCAAGACCTTGAGGTACGCGACAGGCGCAAGGGCCGGGGTGGGAGGAGAAGAGGGCAAGCGTTTAATTGGCTCTTGAAAGAACTCTTGGAGCGTGTTGACGGCAGCGTTTACTGCCCTCTGTCCTTGCGCGGTAGCATTCCGTAGAAAATATTCGATGTCAAGTCGTGCGCGCGTTTAAAAAAGAGGCCTGAGGCCTGGAGTCAGCGGGCTAGAGTATCTCGGTTTGTGTGTGTATGTGTGTGTGTGTGTGTGTGTGTCTGTCTTTCGGGGTGGGCTGTGCTCTGCATAGGTTGGCGACGGCACCACCTCCGTAGTAGTTCTTGCTGGAGAACTACTGCAGGAGGCAAAAGCCTTTGTTGAGGATGGCATGGCAACGCAAGTGATCATCAAGGGGCTGAGGGCTGGCCGCGATCTTGTAAGGCAGATCGAAAAACGGGAGCAACCCTCTGTCCTTTTTAGCTCGCCTTAAGACTGGTCTATTGTGGTTCTCGTCTCCAGACCGGCAAAAGGCGGCCCTTCTTTTTCCCGTTCGTGCTTTTCCTGTTGCACCGAACGTGGTTCAGTGTCTCTCTGTTCGACGGGTGCCTTTCCGTGTGCGGCCTCTTCTTTCTGTGCCAGGCGCTGCAGCGCATCGATGAGGTGCAGCTTTCTCTGGCGGACAAGGCCCCAGAGTGAGCATCCGCGTGTTTTTACTTCCCTCTTGCCGTGCAGATAGTTATTGGGCTGGCTGGCTAGCAGGTCGAACAGCTGCCGCTGTATGTGTAGCCGACTGCCCGGGAGTCTGGCGAGCTAGCTTCAAGAGGCGTGAGTGTTCTCCCTTGGACTGGTGTTCAATGTTTGTTGCAGGAGTCGGCGCGCGTTGCTGCTTCGATGCGCTGAGACTTCCCTAAATTCCAAGCTTCTCTCTGCTCACAAGACCTTCTTCGCAGAGGCAAGTCTGGCGTGGATGCTTTTGCATGCTTCTGCGGCTTACAGGGTGCTGGCTGGCTCGCTCTCTCAGCATTTTTTGGCTTCAACAGCCCTCAGTTGCTCGTCAGTCACGGGTGTTTGGGTTTCTTGTGCGCTGGCCAAACCTTGCGGAATGCCGACGCATAATTTTGCTTAGCCCCCCCAACGCGCTTCTCTTGACACCTCGTGCGCTAGTGGGGCCTTGGCGTTGTACGCCTTCTTCCGCCTCCGTGTGGCGCTGTGCAACTTCCTGTCCTGTCTCCGATATTTTTTTCGCATTCGTGTCAGATGGTTGTGGAGGCCGTCACGCTGTTGGGTCCGAGTCTCGACATCTCGATGGTGGGGTTGAAAAAGGAGGCGGGCGGCAGCTATGGAGACAGTCGTGTGGTGCGTGGCGTTGCCTTCAAAAAGACCTTCTCGTATGCTGGCTTCGAGCAGCAGCCTAAGAAGCTGATAAATCCAAAGATCCTGCTCCTCAACCTGGAGCTAGAGCTCAAGGCCGAGAAAGAAAACGCGGAAGTCAGGCTCGACAATCCAGATGTAAGACGACCGCAAGCGTGTGCCGCTGCTTCTAAGACTCTACGTAGAGGGATGCACAAACAGTGTGCGCTTCGGGGAGGGTGGGAGCGAGCCACGTGAAGGGAGTTCTGTGCACGCTGCCCCTCGTTCTTCCCTGACGGTGTTCGCTGCGCTCTGCAACCCGCAAAAGTCTGTCCCTATATCACCCGTCGTTCTGCCCTCTCCATGGCAGCATGGGTACCTGTCGCAGCAAGCTGCCCCTTGTATAGCGCTTCGCGTCTGCCCCTGCGCTTTGCACTTTTTCGCGTTTCTGTGTTTTGCGTCGCTTATGCCCCAGGACTATCAGTCCATCGTGGATGCGGAGTGGGATCTTATTTACGAGAAGTTGCAAACTATCGCCGACAGTGGGGCCACCGTTGTCTTCTCCAAACTCCCTATTGGTTCGTTCCACACCCCCGTTTTTCTGAAGAGTCTCTCGTCTTGCTGTTCGTGCCTTTATACCGCCTTCCTTGTGTGCGCTGCATTCTCGCTGGTGGCTGCTCGGTGCATCGCTGCCATGTCTTCTCTTTCTTTCTTTCTCTCTTTCTTTCTTTCTTTCTCTTTCTCTCTCGCTCTTGGAAACCCTTCGCGGCCTCCTTTTCTGGATGCCCTTTCCTGGTGCTGCCCACTTACCCACGCCTTCTCTGTGCTCCCTCCCCATGCCGCGCCTTGGGTTCTTCCTGAAGGCTTCTTCCCGCAAGCTTCCTCCCGCTGCTTCACCTGCCTTGCCCCTCTCCCTTCTATGTGGCCGGCCGCCCTGCAGGAGACTTGGCAACCCAGTTCTTTGCCGACAGAAACATATTCTGCGCTGGTCGCGTTGAAGATGCAGATTTGCAGAGGGCAGCGAAAGCCACAGGGGCAAAGGTTCAGTCTACAGTCAGCGGCCTGACGCCCGACGTCCTGGGTAGGAACGCAGACGTTTGTTTCTTTGGTCCTTTGTATGCCCCCCCTTGATCCGGTTTTTTGTGTCCTCGTGTGCTTTCCTATCTCCTGAATGAAAGCTTTAACGAGTCCATCCCTTGACGGTCCCCCGGCACATCCCGCTGCGCTTCGCATGTGGCGCGCGCGCGTGCGCGTTGGCTGCTCCGCAGGGAGCTGCGGCCTATTCGAGGAGGCGCAGGTGGGAAGCGAGCGATACAACATTCTCTCCGAGTGCCCTGAGGCAGAGTCTGCCACAATCCTGCTGCGTGGCGGCGCTCCCCAGTTCCTCGATGAAGCTGAGAGGTCTTTGCACGACGCCATCATGATCGTCAGGAGGGCCTTGAGGTCTCACGCGGTCGTTGGGGGAGGCGGAGCTATCGAAGTGAGACGCTTGATCCTTGAGGCGTGAAACAGAAAACGGCCTGCGATTTTGGAGGGCTCAGCGCAGCTTCTCTGCTGCTGTTCGCGTTTTTTGTGGACCGGCAGTGGCCCATGTTTTATTTGCTGCTGCCTTGTCGCTGCACACTCGCCGTTGCCAGCTGCACGCTTCCTCCAGTTACATGAAATGCAGCTGCTGCCTCCCGCCCTGATGGGTGGCTTCGCGGAGGCAGAAGGGAGGGAGGCGAGGGGCTGGTGCCAAGGATGGCGTGCTTGCGTGCAGATGGAGCTGTCTCGCTATATCAGGGAGCACAGCAAGACGGTAGCTGGCAAACAGCAGCTGGTCCTCAAGTCCTTCGCGAGAGCTCTTGAGGCAATTCCTAGAGCCCTCACTCGGAATGCGGGCTTCGACGCTACAGATGTCCTCAATCAGCTAAGGCAGAAGCATGCCACTTCTTCCGGTACGTATGTGGACTATTTTATGTACTGCAAGCATGCCTACTAAAAGTTACCTCTAGACAGGGCAAGAGGGCCTTCACCTGCTACCCACCACGAGCACACATCTGCAAGCGTCTATACGATGTGTACTTGCGTGCGTGTGGCGCAATACACATAAGCACTCTTTTCTTGAACCGCAGCTCCTGTACAGGTTCACTCACTGTCTCTGATGCAGAGGTCTGCTGGATCGGCGTAGACTGCATTAATGGCGGGGTCGCTGACTCTATGGCAGCCCACGTCTGGGAGCCGGCGATCGTTAAGCAGCATGCGCTTGCTGCAGCCACGGAGGCCGCCTGTCTCATCCTCTCTATTGACGAGACCATCACACAGCCAAACCCCCAAGATAAGAAGGGGGGGATCCAGTAAAAAGGCATGGCGATCGACTTTAAAGCAAAGGGTGGTATTCGATATAATACATAAAAGGCTTTGCAAAGGGGCAAGAGAGGCTTTCGCTGGAGAGGATAGCGAGCCTCTGGACCCGAACGGCTCTAAGCCACAGACTGACATACGCAAAGAAGCACCGGATATACGCAGAGCGACAATTTCTTTTGGCCACTCTCTGAGTCTGCGCTTGCAACGGGATATGCTGCTAATGCTGCGGCATAAGCTGCATTGCTTTGCAGGGGTACTGAGGCACAGGCGGAGAGGGACAGCAGGGAGCACTAGCGTGCTCTTCCGCAGCTGTCTGTGGCACCCCACAAGGCCTTTGGCTGGGCTTTCGGTAGCAAAGAAAGAAAGACCCTTTTACGACACATAAATGCGCAAGTCAATGCTTGTCGAGCTAGTGGCCACTATGTCTTATCATGTTCATGTGTCTTATGATGTTCGTCTTTGGCCGCGTGTGGCCCCTTGGTTCTGGGTTTTCCCCTATCGATATTTCCCACCTTGTTGTATTGTATTCGCTGCTCTGTCTTACTATCCCTATATATATTTCCTGTTGCCTCTGAGTCCCTTTGTGGCAACCTTGCACTCTACCACGCTGTCTTGCGCTTTCCACACTTTGGTAATCCCAAATCCCCTTCTGAGGTGTCGGAATCCTGATCTAGCTCTTTCTAGAGGCAGGAAAATAGCACCGAACAAAACAATTTGTAGATGGCGATAAGGACTACTAACGCACGGCAGGAGAGGACTGCCCTGCCATCCGCCGTTTACTTCTGCTTAGCAGCAGCCGCCGGTTTGGCAGCGCGTCTTGGTCCTGCCGCTGTGCTGGGACGGCCAGCAGACGCTGCTGGCTTTCCCTTCTTATGGCTCCTCTTGTGGGGAGCAGCAGTTCCCTTCTTTACGCGTCGGTCATGTAGCTTCTGCAGCAGAAACAAGGTTAGCAGCGCAATCAGCTGTGGAGGTGACCTCTCGGCGCTAGGGACGGCTGTGGCAAGCGGCCTGCCGTGTCTAGCTGATGCCAGGGGCAGAGAGAAGTCCTAATGCTGCCATTGGGTGCGCAACCGGCGACGTCGGCAGATACAGCAATGGTGGCAACAACAATTTGTGGAGCTACCGCAGTGGTAGACATGTTGTGATCTTATCTTGCCTGCGATGGAACTGGAGGAACGGAGGGAAGGCCCGTTGTCGCTAGAGAGGCTGAGTAAAACCAGCCGCTATTCGCTGCTGCTGAGCGGAGCAGAACCCGTGAAAGGGCCCCTCTAACGGGAACCGCAGACGGGGGCCCTTGGGCGTCTATGATTTGCTGCTCTTGAGTACACCACGCAGCGAGCTGCTGCACATTTCTGTAGAGCTGCAGGCAGTCCAAGGGCGTTGCCTGAAACGGAACACATGGGTGAGGGTCACACTGGTGGTAGTGCGTACAGGCAGAGGGGCACCTAGATGAAATTGTCAGAAAGCTATGCAGAAGCTGAGATGCATGCAATCGCGTGTGCACACACGACAGACACGCTAGACAAGATCCATGGGTAGGTGGGCTGCACCAAGTTGCATCCAGGAATAGAGTTTGGTCAGGGGTAGGGGCTAAAAGCAACACCTATTGTGGAGAAAGATACAGACACCTAAGGAATATGCTGCTCACGTGGGGAACCAGGGAGGACAGGAGGGATTGAAAAGCTTTGAAACAGGAAAAGGGAAACTCTTTTTGTTTTTCAGACACCAGTGCGTCGTGCGTGTCTTCTACTTTGCTAAATCCTGTACTGCAGTGACAACAGTGGCAGCACAGGGGCATCACACCTAAAGGAGCGCCGCCAAGGGCTACGACGGGGAGCAGTGCAGCCAAAATTCTTAAAGAACGTAATTTATAGAAGCTAAGTCAAACACATAATAGTGTGCGGTAGGGTATCTAGGGTCCATACGCAAAGTCAGCTTCACAAGCTTCCAGCACAACGTCGTAGAAATCCTCCGTCTCCATAACCACTGCAAAAACATAGCGTTCCAACCTCGAATGTCTGAGCCCTTGATGCGAAAGCGCTGCAGTTCTGCGCCTCTATTCCTCTTCCTATGCTTTTTTGTGTGCTCTCATGGCAGGCCCATTTCTATGCACCAGGGCTTGATGTTGAAGGATTGTGGTTTGGAATTAAGGGCTTTGTGACAAACGGAGTGGTGGTTCCGGTAGATGTTGCAGCTCCACAAATTGGAGGCCCTCTGGCCTTGGGGTCGTCCCTGAGGAGGGCCCTACGGGCAAGAGTGCGGATGCATGCAGAAGAGGATGACTCTCTCCGTTCAGCAGCGGCTGCCACACCGCGGGGGGAAGGGGTAGTGCAGCCTCTCGAAGAATCTGAAGAGACCGCCTCAGGAGAGCAGGCAGACACTGAGAGGGAGCATCGTCATAATCTCTAGGGAGGCGCTGCACACGAATGCCTGGAGGTCGAGGGAAGACTTTTGTGAAAGCAAGCGACACCCGATAAATCGTCCAGGACAACCGCGAGAAAACACACAACAGCCAAGGTATGCAGCGACAGACAGCGCAACACAACAGATGAAGCAGAGGGAAACGCATGAGGGTGGAAGGCCAAAAGGCACGGCGAAACGAACAAACACGCGGGCACAGCCATAGAAAAACTCTCACACAGCTTGGCACCAGCATTCGTCTCTACAGCTTCAAACCCTCGGCATGGGCTTCCTAGTGTGCTTCAGGGTCTCTTGATGTGCCCGTGTGCTTATGCCTTCTGCCTGTAACCCCCTTCCTCAGTGCGTGACTATTTGTTTCGTTCGGCCATGCCTTCTCTAATCTGGTGCTGCCGGTGTCTGCCCCTGGATTTCTGCCTGTCTTCGTGTGTTTCCCTTCCCTCCCGTCTTTCAAATTCTGTCAAGTCTTCCTTACGGCCTGAACTTGGGCAGCAGTCAAGAGTGGATTTGGCTTTGGAGGTGGCTTCTCACTGCGGTCCATCCACCTGTGCGTATCCGCCTCAACTAAGCTCAAGTGCCTTTGCAGTGTCTTTAGTTTCCCCTGTTGCAATCGGCAATGGAGGAGACCGCAGAGCAGCAGGCGGGCTTTCCCCCTATCTGTCTCGATCCCGCTTGCTGCTGCTGCGGTCGCTGCTGCGGTTGCTGCTCCTGAGGATGCAAGCTGTCTTGGGGTGTGTGAAGGGCTTGGTGTCTTGTGGTAGCGAGGTCCACACACTTCCCCAGCCGTGCCTTCCCCGCCCCATATCCGAACTCGTGACGCGAAACCCGTCAGTAATGCAGCAGCAGCTGTTTCCTTTGCCCCAGCTAAAGCGTCTGCAGCTAACACAAAGAGTGTCACTGCATGTAGAAAGCAGTTCCCACTCGTGGCTCTACTGCAACTGCTATGATGGATGGGGGGTCTTTCCAATACGCCGCTGGTCTTTCCGACCATCGAAGACTGTGCAGCTGCTGGAGCAGCAGTTGCGGGTCGATTTGTAGGAACATAGAGAGCCCCTTTTGCCGCAGCGGGTGAGGCGTGTGTGTCCTTCCGAGGGCTGTAGAAGGGAATGTGCTGCACGCGCCGCCAGACGAAGAGGAACACATTGAGACAAGGGCGTGGCAGAAACTTTTCAAGTGTACAGACGCCCAGGAACCTGCATGGACAGAATTCGAAGGTCTAGCGACATGAGCCAAGCGACATCCTAAGTGGCGCTGGCACGCCGGGACTAAAGGTTCGAAAGCAGCGACTCTCTCTACCCCTGATTTCAATTTCAGCTTGTACTACAACTGTGGATAGCAATGTTGCGGTAGTTCTTGATTTCTCCATTCCTAAGATTGCTGTTGTGGAAAGAATGGAGGCAGCAGGACGCGCATACTTTTACCTGCCAAAGCGAAGAACTCTGCGAAGCAGTGGAGATTCAGGAAGTTCTTCATGCAATCGTTGTTGATGCTGCCTTTGCAATATCTGCAGGGTTCGCGCAACACCGGCGAGGCTCCTTTGTACTTTATCGTCTGTCGAAAGTCTAATTGTCAGCACATTCTCAACAGCCTCTACCAGAGACAGCCTCGGTCGGCTTCGGGATGGATCTGCTGCTGCTGCCTCTTCGGATGTTTTTGCCTCATACGCTGCCATGGCAACAGCTGAGACCTCTTCTAGAGAGAGTGCTGGAGGGGGACCCTAAGAATCGCAGTACGCATCCTGCCCAGTGCGGCTGCAGGCAGAAGCAACAGCATCAGCATCAACGGCAAGCCCCTACGCAGCAGCAACAACAAAAGCAGCAACAGCAACAATACAAGCACCGAAGCTAGGTTCAAAACTGACATGCGTGATTGTGGTCTCTCTGGCGAGGGCGAGGCGGAGGCGGGGATGTAGAAGAGACACTGGAGGAGCTTCACTACCCTCAGGTGCGCTGCTGAGACACTCCGGGGTTACCATGACCCCCAACTCTGCCACTGCGCAAGGCCTGTGCAGCCATACGGACATCAAATCAGCATAGTCCACATAGTTGTAGTTCATAATCTGTTCTTGCTAGTGCTGGTGCCGATAACAGAGCCATCTACACAGCGCCACTAGAACTTCAACTAGCAATAGCTGCTGCTACTATTGCTGATGCTGGCGAAGTTGGCGAAAGTGCTGCCGCTATTGATTTTTGGGTGCCTTAGAAGTACTAGCAAGCTCTCATATGTGAAAACGAGCCTGAAGCATAGTTCCCCTTCTTTGGTTTCGTAAACCCTTCCACTGTCTCTGCTTCTTATTGTGTCCATGGGCTGTTGCACACTGCTGGCTACTTGTTGCAGCAACTGTTGCGCTTCCAGTAACAGTTGCTGCTGTACTCCGTGAGATGCTGCTCTTTCCTTCAGCAGCTCCACGAGCTCTTCATGCTGATCCCGTGCCTCTGTGATGCGCTGAATCAGAGTTAGGTAATAATCAGTACGGCGTCAGGTTGACGGGGTATAGGAAAGCAGCGCACGGGGGGCAGGCTTGAACTGTCACGGCATGCCTCTTATGCGAAAAGCTGCTCTGCGCATCTACTGTTGTTAGTATCTGCGCCTAAAGGGTGCAGTAGCTCTATTAGTTTCTGCTCTGTGACAGCTTTGCTTCGTTCAACGGAAAAGCAATTTGCCCTTCTCCGTGGCAGACAGGTTTCTCAATCGTGGCAGCAACGGGAGCAGCAACCTCAGGAACCAGAGCAACCCTTTGCTGTGATTGTCTGCTATATGACAGCCTTGTAGAGCCAACGAAAATCGGGCGTAGGATATGCCTTTATGCTTATGGTGTAGTATAGATTGATTAAAAAGATATTTCACAGCTTACACTCTCGTCCGGGTCTAGTCTGGCCAGTTCCTGCTGCAGCATCTCTACTCTCTCAGTAAGCGCCGTAACACTTTCCTCATGTTTCCTTCTGTCTTCGGCCCGCAGTCGCTCGTGGCTGGCAACAAGTCGTTGCAGTTGCTCTATTTGCTGCAACAGTTGCTGGAGGGCCACTTCGCGTTGTTGCCATCGAAATAACGCTGCTTCAAGGTCTTCGACATAACTGAGGGGCAGACAACTTTCAGGAGGACCAAGTCTCTATACCCAATCTAGAGACCACATGTACATTCCCCTTTCTATATCCTTTCCACTATTTAAATGGGAAATGGAAGAGAATGTGGCAGTCAAATAGACAGCGAAGGAAATGAAGAGAGGAAAACCTGCATGTGGACAGCTGGGCACATCTGCGTCCAGGCAGAGGGTACTCCCGCACTTACACACACGTCGGGAGCTGCACTCCCCTAGCTGCCTACATTGCGTATACCCCTGATGCAACTTATTTCTCTTAGCTACGTAGGTCACCAAATATGCCTCTAACGCATCCCATCTGGTCTTTTGAGCCATTCCAGCAGATGCCGTTTATTAGGACTTTAACACTGTCAGTTGGCCTTTAGAAGCAAGCCGGGGGGCTCTAGAAATATCCAGCAATCAGAAATTTTAGGAACTGAGGTAGATAGGGAGTGTGTTGAGGTGAACTGAAATCAGCATCGCACCCAAAGCAAGCTTACCGTTCGTACGATGCGATATCTGTGTCCAGTACGTTGATCAGTGAAGTAAGGGACCAAACAATGGATTCCGCCAGTATTGCTCGATCTTGTCCCGTCGCTTCCACCACGAGTCTCAGCAAGGATCGCAGCTCTCTGCGGAAGCAGGGAGAACAACAATCGTAGCCCACAACCCGCTCAACATGAATGACCGTGCTGCCGCGTTGGCGTTAACGAGCTGCATTAGAAAGTGTTGTACCGGTACAATGCATGAACAGAAGGGCAAAGGGTCACTTTAGCATTCTCATACAGCAGTGCAACGATTGTTTCACCGTATACATGGGATCAGGAGCTCTTCTGTGGTCTCCCCACTGCATAGTTGCATCACTGCTTCCAGTGGGGGCTCATCCTCTTCCAGGGTGGCTTTCAGCTGTTCTAAAACTTGTTCCCTCACCAACTGTTGATGCTTCTGCAGTGCAGTTGTGGCTTCTGGCGAACGACGTGCTGTGTTGGCTGCACGTGCGTCTGTCTGCAGGCGCCCTCCAGTAGATATGCACCTGCAGCTGCGGCGGCCTCGCGCCTGCCCCCGGAGAGTACCGTCACCTGCAACACTAGCAATTCCTACTGTTGTTGTTAATGCTGAAGAGCTAGTTTTACTTTCGCCCATGTACAGAACTCCTCCGCTACTAGACGCAGTCGAGGGCCGCGGCCAGCGCTGCTCTGCTGTAGCACTACGGCGGTGTTTATTCCTAGCAGCAGCAGCAGCTTGCTGTGAAGCAGCAGTAAGGCGCATTAGGGCTGTAGCAATTGCCCTGTCAACTGTCAATGTGTCTCGAGGTCCTTTCTGGCTTCTGCGGCAGCTGTGAGCTGAGTCGTCTAGGGCCGAGGCCTCACTATCTTTGTGAGACATGCAAGTTTGCTCCCCTTTCAGGCTGCAGCGACTGCTGGCAGCTGGCCTAGAGGCAGATCTAGCGCGTTCACTTGCGGCCTGGAGGGGAGCCGCCCCGTAAGGTGCCTCTGTAGGAAGGCAGCTTTTGTTACTTGCTTCACCGGTGGTGCTGCAAAAGCAGGTATCTTTATCGAGAGTGCAGACTGAATCGGTGATAAAAACGCCATCGCTGCTGCTATAATGCACGCCTCTCCTGTTCTTAGGGCCGTTTGGGGGCCCTACCATCCCGACAAGCCTGAGTGTTTCTTCACTGGGATCGGCGCAACGGAGAGACTGTGGCTCGCGGGGAATTCTTAGCTCGGTGTCACAAGCACACGTTGTTGCTGTTGGTTTTGTTGATACAGCTTGGGGTTTTGTTGCCTCGGGGAGATGCCGTATGGAGTTGTATGAAAGGCGGATCTCCGGGGTAGCGCGGAACAGATGGCTGTAGCAGCAGCACTAATATTGGCAATAAGAGCAATCAGCTGTGGATAGCTTAGTGCGTGTTAGTCTATGCATGGGAACAGCAGCCTACAGAAGATGCGCACAGCCTGAGCCCTTAATGCAATCAAGAATAGCCTCCCCTACAGCATAGCATCATATGACAGGATATGAAACCCCAATATACGTGGCTCTTTGAATTAATCGTTTCCATTCTGTCACCTACGCAAATCGACTGCGCCTTGCCCAAGACAATGGAGGTCGCAGCACTATGTCACTGTCCTCCTCTGCAAGAGCAGCCGCATAGATGTACCAATAGCAGCTCGCTCAGCAAAACCTTGAGGAATTATGCGTGGCCTCTCCTCCCACTGCCCTTTTATTATCCCCACACGCATGAGAAACTTATTATGTCTTTCTTTCTATATGTCAGAGCTCTTTATTTGATCCTTTCTCTTCTTGTGGCTCTCCCCATTTCCTCACGAAGTAGCACTTCGGGTACCCCTGTATTCCCCTCAGGAAGGCATTCAGCAGAGGGCGACCTAAGGGCGTGCAGGCTAAGAACAAGGGGGCAAGGCGCTTCTAGCTGCCTTCCAGTAACAGCAGCTAAGAGCTCTAGGGTTCGTTCTGCCGCTTTAGCTGCTGCCTAAGTACAAAAGAGGAAACAGTGAGGGCATACAAAGGTGAGGCATCACAGGGGTCTCTCCGTCTGGCTCCCTACAAAAATTTACCTTTTCAGATACAAATCTGACCTCCCCATATCCGAAATCTTCTAGTTGTATCAACAGTCACCATCATGCAGCGCAGTAGTACGATTGATGACTGGTAAGCTAGCCATGAAAAGCAAGATTTGGCGAGTTCGTTATCTTGCTAATGGGAGAGCAACCGACTGCGTTTGGAGGTATTAGAAGGACGTGCCTGCATTGTGACATTCCTGGTGCTGTTATTCGGACGTCCCTCTGCATTCAAGGTTGCAAAGTCAGCAGCCACATCCTGCAGCAAGTGCTGCGTCGCCTCGAGCTCAGTACTGAGAGCGCTTAAAGGTCTTAACTGCAGAGACATCAGCAACCACATCAATCGCAGAGCAGGCATCATAAACACATGATCACGCCCGCCTCTTGCACCGACAGCGCTTGCCTTTGCCGTAGCTAAAACATCCTCTCCAGACAATGTGATTTTGGACAATGCCCGGCAACTACTACTGCCTGCAGCTGTTCGTACAGCCACAGTCTCTGCTGGGCTGAAGAAATAGGAGCTGCATGTAGAATTGTGCGCCCCTTCTACCTCAGTAGCCTTCTTCGTGTCGCAGCACCAAAACTGCACTTGCGGCATGAGGAACAGCAGAAGCTTGTGGTGCTCCGTTTTGTGTACCTCACCCGGGCCAATGCACGGCGATGTAGAGCCTCCGCTCTAATGGAGAGACTACTTGGTTCAGGGGGAAATGTAGACTTTGAGCGGTCCTCTACTATGGAGTAGATACTACGAAGTAGTTGCTGCCGTAAGGAAGCCTCCACCTGCACGATGTAGAACGTAGAGGTCCCAGCGGCGATAATACTAGCGGGGGCAACAACCGCTACAACAGCAATAGGCGCAACCTCCATTCTAATGCAGCAGCGAACAAGCTTTTCTGCTGCATTGGTTTTTTGTAGAGTGAAATGCAGAATAGCGGCTACATAAGGCAGCATCAAGCAGGAGAAGCAGAAGAAGAAGGCGAAATAATATTTTCAGAGTAGTAGGTATACTGGCATCCTGTTTTGTGTTTAGGCGATGTCTGTTTGTCCTTTCCTTGGGGTCTGTGAGGCCTTTCTTGAGGCTTCTTTCCACTAGAAGGGGCTGACAGGCCCTATGGACCCCTCGAGGACCTTGGGTGCTGCTGTCCCAGTGGCAGGGGGGCCCCCTGCAAGGCCCCCCATGTGACAATTTCTCCTTGTTGCTAAGCAAGCACTGCAGTCGCCCCAAAGCCTCAGGAGCTTCGGGGGCCGCAGGATGGAGGACCCCCGATGCTGCTGCTCGTTGCATCATATGCTACAACGGCATCAGAACCTATTGCTGTTTTGGCTTGCTAGGAGCAGGATCGTCAGCGACAGGCGCAGAGCATAGACACATCTCGCTTAATCTGTATAAAATTTTTGATGAGATGTAGGCTTCCACAATAGGGATGAGGTTCTGCATATAGGAGCACGGGCTGGCTTGGCAATCACAAAAAGAGCAACCTCAGTCCCAGGGTGGAATTGATCAATTTTAGTCTTTCTCATAATGCACTGCTTTTTGCAGTGTTTCATGCTTTCAAGTTTAATATGGCTTTCTGTGGGGCTCTCTGCTACTGATATGAGCCCGGATCCGAGACCCTCAGTTCTGGAGGTTGCGACTCCTGTAGTAGCCCTGTGGCGAAGTTTTCGGAAGAAAGGCTTCAAACTTTATAAAGCAGCAAAAGAGGGCGATTTGGCTCAATCACTTAGGTATCTGTCTTACATCCCCCTTTCCACTTCCTGTGGCAGTCTCCTTTCGCCATCCCCTGGCTGTGCGCCAGTAAGCAGAGGTCACTTTAGACTGTTAAGGGCTCACGACTGCATTATCAGCTCCTTCCAGGCGCGTTCATTTTCAATCAAAATCAAGACCCATATAACCGAAGCTTTAGGTTAAGATCAGAGGAGAAAGATAAGCGAAATAATGTGAGAATTAGCCGATCATTAAACAAATACTTAAAAGGCTCGAACAGGGACTGACGCCTGCAGGCACTCTCCTTGTCCTCTCATCTACATTGCGTTTTGAAGGGGTCGTCCTTCTCTAGTTTGCCCTTTTTTCTGTACTTACTGTCCCTTTACTTCTATGTTTTTCCGTCTCGCTGCCTTTACGGCAACCTGCCACCCCCATTACGCCTCCCTAGCGTCTTTTGATACTACCGTAAGTAACTGGTTGGGCCACATCTTCTCCACCTGCCTTTTTTAGTCCACCTGTCCTTACCTCAACCAGCCTCTTCCCTACCATGCGCCCCCAATAAGCCTTCTGAGCCTACAGTCTGTGACTCCCTGCCTCGGAGCTAGAACACGCTAGGAATAAGAACAATAACTACAGCGCTACTTTTACGTAAAACAACCTCTATTCATTTCTCGTCTCGTTTAGCAGGCCATAGAGTCACTCTTGAGCAGCGCCCTCATGATCCCAATACTTAATTCTTCTGCCACCTGAGCCTCGCACTCAAAAACAGCAGTACCGGCACCATCCGCAGCAGCTACTGCAGTCCTAATAACGGCGGAGCCTGCAAACACATGTAGCTTTGCCACTTTCGTGAGCATTTTGGCTTTTGCTCTAAGAACTTGGCCGACTGAGGATCGGCTGATGGTTAGCCGGACAGAGATCCAGATTCCCTGAAGATCCCTACGCAACTGGAACCCAATACCGTGGCTATCTTGACAATGGGAGAGTCACCTAGAGTCGGTATAAGGGTCTGTATCAAGCTAGCTGAATGGGAGAAGGGGATTAGGTTGTTAGAG